TTTTTTTTTTTTTTTTTGCAAGGGGGAAAGGGTATAAATACAGTACTTGGACTTTGACAGGCTATAGATAGAGACAGATAAATATTAATAAAGATTTTATAATAGAATATTTCAGGTATTTATAGAACTTTGTAAATTCTAAGAGAGAGAGAGTTAATATTTGCAGTAAGTACTACTATTTATAGTCTATTATTATTATATCTTGCTTAAGATTACTGATTACTGTTATTAGTTAATTAGATTATAATATAGTAATAGAGAAATTATTTTCTTTTTATATACAGTTTCTATGGCCTTATAATAATAGTATTTATTAAAATATAAGAGAAGCGTAGACCTAAGTCTCTGAAAATATCTGATTATAAAGAGTTAGTTATATAAAAAATAAATAAAACTCTGCTGTGTGTATATAATTTTAGAAGTTTAGAAAATAATATATAGAGATTTTCAGCCGCGCGCCTGCTTAACTGGGAATTCTGGTATTTATATTATTAATAATTTTTAATACTTTTATTTTATGATAGGCACCACCGCTATTTTATAATATACTAAATTTCTCTTTTATTATTAAATTTGATGGTTCAGTATACAAGACTAACTTATAATCTTATAAATAGATATAATTTATATAAAGATTACTATTTCCAGTCTACTTTTATATAGTATTCTAGAAAATCAGCTTTTAGAGAATATTACAGGCAGATACTTAGTTAAATATAAGGTATTTTTTATTACTATATTTAGTAATAATATAAGTTAATACAGAGTTAAGTATTTTTCAGATATTAAAATAGAGATAGAGAAAGACTGGAAAAAGATATCTGATTCTGTTCTAAAATAATAAATATAAAACTGTCTTGTCCAGTACTGATACTGTAAATCTTTCTATCTTATCTCAAGAAATTTTGTACTTCAGGAGAAAATAAATTAATTATTAATAAGCTCTAAGAAAAAGTTATAAAGAAAGAAACTGAGATTATTTAAGAAAAAAGTAGTAATCTATGTACATGAGGCATATAAAGACTTAAGTTATATAAATTCTAATAATAAGTATAAAAAATATATTTATACCTGATGTAATCTCCAGATGAGTTATTAACTTAAAGGTCTATTTAGAAAATGGTTAGTTATATTAAAAAGCTAGAAATACTTGACTCAGAATATACTCTAGAATTATATTTTATAATAATATTATAAAATCATTACAGAAGGATTGTTATTAATATATATAAAATAGATTGAATCTTATAAGAATCTGGATAGCTTTTTAGTTAAAAGCTTGATTATATAGACTAGAAATAACTATTAAATATATTATTCTTATATAAAATATAAAAAATTAAAATTATATAGAGATTTTTAATATAGTTCTGCAGATTAATTATTTTACTACAGGAAAGTATACAATGATAATAATTATATTAGTTTCTATTCTATTAAATATTATAAGTTTAGCAAGTATAATTATTTATTATATTATCAAACTTATACTAATAAAGTTACAGGTACTATTTTATATATCAGATCATCGGATTTCAGTAGAGGAACAGTAAATTATAAACAGATAATACTTATAATAAATATCCTGTTTTTCTTAGCTGTATTATTAATAATAAGATTTAGATATACTAATAAACAAGCTAAACTAGAAAGAATAAAGAATTTCTTTTTATAAGAATTTAATAATTGTATGTACTATATCAGCAGGATAAGTAAAGTAATTAAATAGAAGTCTGATATAATATTAAATACTGCCACTGATATAAAAATAACAGCCTTGTTAATATATTTTCCTGGAAGTATAATATTCCAAGACTTTGATATTAGCTGATAAATAAAGATAAAATAAGTAACCAGAGTATATGATTCTAGGAATATTAATACTATAATAATAACTAGAACAGTACGGAGCCACTGGGTATCTGTGATAATAATAACTTGATAAAGAAATAATATTTAAAAAAGTTAGATCAGATATGTTCTGAAAATAAATAAACAGAATACTAAGAAAAGTAGCTGGAAATATTAATCTAAAATCTATTTTAAATAATAGTAAATGTTCATGATATATCTTTTAATATATATTAATAGTCTTTTTATTTAGATATTATATATGATATCTAAGACCTGTATAGCTTAAAGTCTCTTTTTTTTTTATAAGTTCTGCTAAAGAGTGAAATTAAAGATAAAATCTTATATAAGATTATTACTTGGGTTATTATGCTATAAGTCTATGATTTTTAAGAAGTTTAAGTAATTTAATATACAGTAACTAGTACTTATCCAAGACAGTATAAGATAGATTATAAGAGATATAATTAGTATTTATTATTAATTAGTTATCTTATATATCTATTTACTATTCTTGATACTGAGTTTATAGATTATTTAGTATAAGACCTATAGATGTATAGCCAGATAATATAAGTAAAATATTATATTTAAGATAAAATTATAGTAGATAAGATAATATAAGTATACAGAAAATATAATAAATTAATGGAAATAATGTTCCTGAGTACTTAGTTATTATATAAAAAAAAGAAGTATTATTTTAGTCTTTTATTATATAATTATTAATAATTAATTTAATATATATAAATTAGAGTAGGGAAGCAAATGATGTTATTTTATATATAATAAACTTGATGAAAAAGTAAAATACTAGATTTTATTAGTAAGTAATAGCTAATTGCAGCTACTCATATAGTTATTTACTTTATAAATTCCTATATTATATTAAATTCTAGTTATTCTGAATTAATCTTTCTTTTTTTTCCTCGTAGGAGTAAGATACAGTGTATATTCTCTAAATATTATTTTAATTTTATTAAACTCTCTAGGTTTTTTGAACAGGCTGGGTGCCGGTAATGATATTAGTTAGATAATATTTCTGAGAAAAGATAGAAGTTAATATAATTATTCTATTTACTGTAATTAAGAAACTGTTTTATATACTTATAAGACTTAAGATTATTATTTCTGAGATTAAATAGATAGTATACTACTTTAATTAAAGTATATTAGAAAATTAAAAGATTACAGCAGAGCAAATTATCAGGCTTTATTAAGTAGTATTTATAATATAATATCTACTCTTCAGACTCTATGAATTAATAATAATAAATAATATAATATTATATAAAATCCACAGGACTCTGTTTATAAAAATATTTCTTATAATAGTTATATAAATAGAACTAACAGCGGTGAGAATGATGATTATATTATTAATAAATATTATTTATATTAGAGTAAATACTTATACTGTAAGTAAGTATTTATAAAGATATTTTCTATTTACAGATTATATTTCTATATTATAGATACTTATACTATGACCTGTATATATAGTCTCAAGGACTTTTAAAATTATTCTTTCTATGGGACTTTACAGAGAGTTATTTCTGGAAAGAAGCTGAGTAAGTAAATTATGTTTTAATATTATTTTTCATGTATAATAAAAAAATGTCTGTTTATATATAGTAGTTGGCTGTATAATTAATATTCTTCTCTATATTTATTACAAGATTTAGAGTTCTTGTATATAATGTCTCTGCTTTTTATTATATATTTAATATTATTTTAGCTGTATTTCTTTCTTGTTAATAGAATCCTGAAGCTTGCTTAGCTTGTCAGTAAAATATTATATTTATTAATTAAGTTTAATAATATCCAGTTACTTCTGAAACTTGAACTCTGTCTTGGCAGGGAATGACTGCTAAAATTATAGATATCTGTAAATTCCTATACTACACTGGTTTTATATATATTTATAATAACTAGAAATGCTAAGATAGATAGCCAGTCTATTTATTTCAGAGAGTAGATATGTATATAATCTGTTAAAAGTATTTTTATTAATATATCCTGTAAACTTTATTCTTATAATTTTAGAATAGTTTTTATCTGTGTAAGTTTAATATTAGTAAGAAATAAAGAATATATATAGATTACTTACCAGCTTTTATTAGTGCTTATTAGTGGCAGGCATACTCTGTAATATTTTTTATATAATTTATATAATATTTAAATTTTATAAGTTCTTTATTAAAAGAATCTGCTCTGTAAGATTAACTAATAGAATTCTTAACTACCTGCTTATTATATAACTGAAAAATAGGAATATTTTCTATCTCTAGTCTAAGTTTAATTTTAGTAATTATTTTCTTATTATTATTATTCTGTATATTTTTAGTTGTATTTATGATTTTATTAATAGATATATAGTCTATGAAGACATGATCTGTGCATGCTATAGAAAGAAAGAATATTAAGAAATTAAAAAAAAAAGAAGTCTCTGTTTTATATATTTCATAGAATCTATAAATTAAGAGCTGTTATTTTTTTTTCTTTTAGTAGTTTTTTATATAGACACGGGAATATGTGAGGACGAGTATCTTGATACTATTTATTTATTTAATAATAAGTATAAAATACTATTCAGGAGTTAGTTTATTAAATAAAATCCTGCTAAGAAAAAAATATTTTATAATATATTACTAGAATACAAGCTTCAAGATTATTATTATTACTGCTATAACTGGTACTCAAGCTTATCTTTTTCTATAATAATTTTTAATAAATTATAGATTTATATATCTCTCCAGTCCTTATTAATATAAAATAATATAATAGTAAAGAGATGCTAAGCTGGACTCATGACTTATTAGAATATTTTCTATAATATTTTTTAAAATTACAGTACTAGAGATATATTAGAATAATTATGAGATTGTTAGATAATACAAAGTCTTTAGATATTTTATTTTTATAAAGTAGAACAGTTTCTTTAAGATTATTTGTGATATAATCTTAAATTATTATAAATATATAAATTAATATATTATAATCATAATATAGACAGAGTGCAGACTTAAACTGCCGGTGAAATCTCTTCATTATTTTAGATATAGAAAATTCTTTCAGTTAATCTTGTGTATTTTTGCTTATAAATTCTATAAATTCTTTATAAGTTTATATATCAGACAGATCTGAGATACTGGAATATAGCTTAAGAAAACTGGATTCTATAAGTAAAAAATATATTTAGAAAAAAGAGGTTTTTTAATTTATCAAAAAAACTTAAAGTTTTATTATACTAGTTCTTGGTCTGATTTAATACCCTGGATTTATATTCTGAGTTATTATAGTTATTAAGATTAATTTACTAATAGATTTTTAAGTATATTTATTTTATTACTATACTTAGCAGTATATATCAGAGCACAGAGAGAAGAGTGAATATATAGAGAATAAAAGATACAGATTCTGACTAATGAAAGAGAAGAATAGATCTTATATCTAATTAGTCTGGCTATCCCGGTCAGCACATCCCGGTAGCATAGTATATTTTAGAGACGTCGGCTCAGGATGCTGACAGCGCTCCCGAAGTAACCTGAAGATGACTGAATAGACTGAATAAAGCAGTAACGGGCTAATCTAGAGCGCTCAGTGACCACCGACATACACCTTCTGTTGTATGTTTTTGATATTTTTGTCCCTCCTTACAGAAGGGATGACGGAGGAGACTACCGAGTAGGAAAATGGAGGGCGGCTAGCAACTATTTTTGGTCCTTGGAGCATTATTACAAAATGCCGAAATTTTAGACTATGAAAACCGTCGCCAGGGGTGAGTATTTGTTATCAGCCATGGTGATGCAGTCCTTCTGGTCTCGCCAGTGAAATGTAACCTTTACAAGGCTGGCACTACAACCACGTAGTCCAGCATGACTTCTCCCTTCAGATGTATACTATTCTTAAGACCCATGTATGGTACGAGCTCAAGGCGCTGCTACACGTGGATCGCGTATCTATACCAAGAAAAACGTTTCCCTTTCTTCATTGACAATTCAGGAACAGACGCCCCCCAACCACCTTCGACCTATCTTTGTTAATCCATCCCTCCTCAACGCAATGCGGCAACGGGGATGGTTAAAGTGGCCATTGTATAACCTTGCCCTTCTCCCCTCGAACATTCTCTGCTTCGTCTGGAAAGACCAAAATTTCCGTCACGCGCGTTGGATGCATCTGAGGCGCACAGGCGATTGTGGTTTGGCCGCGAAATGGTAAGAGTCCAGGTGCGGTGCCGGCGCCTTATTCATTGGACTTCCGTGCTCATCACATAGAGTAATATCAAACATGATGAGAGCTCTAGCCACTATTATCGCTGTCTGAATATATGCTAACTGGAGAATGGTCAACTTCAGGTGATTCGAGGATTGTGTATTTCGACTTACCCTTCGTCCGGCTTTACATGTAGGCCATTAAAGTCTTGTTAGATCGGATCTACAATGACCCGGGGACACACACTCACGACACTTTTGACGCCCACCTCCGAAACCAGTAAATGCCATAACCTCTTTCAAATGCTCTTCTCGATCGGAAAGGAAGCGGCCCGGATCCCAGCGTTGGGGGTCGGGGTAAACATTCGGATCTCGGGTCACTTCATGAGCGTCGTAAGTCTGTTCCGTTCAACGTGAGAGGGTTTCTGACAGAGTATAGAGAGCGGATTTAGTCTTACTACATAGGTTCCTGGGGGTATCACCTCGCCAGTATCTCCGATAGGAATATCGACTGCGCTGATATTCTTACGAATCAAGACCAATGTAACAACTAGTCTAATGGCCTCCAGCATACAGGCGCGCAGGAGAGGAAACTCATGCTCCCAGGTATTGACATGCAGCGATCGGAGGACATCTTCCGTAGGCTCACCCTTCTCTCGGTGCTTGGCGATGACTTGCTCGATTTCTTGCCGGACTCGAGCCATCCATTGTGGGTCGGTGGTAAGCCACATCAGTATCCACGAAGCCACAGTAGGACTGTTGGCCTGAGATGCAAACCCAGCGGACAATAAGACCTGGTGACATGTCAGTTTGTCCATCCTCGCAAAGTAATCAAATTACAAGTAATCCTCTCACCTTGAAGATTGCTCTCGTACTCCACCCTTGTTCAATCATATCCTGAAACATGTTCTCCTTCGTCGGATCTCGCTTACTTGGCTGTTGCTGCTGACCCAGCTTTCTTTGCTTGCTGATGATGTGCCACAACATTACCCACAGCCGCCCCAGCGAGATGAGTGTGGGAATGTGTAACGGATTTAGAAACCATGGGACCACCATGTCGGATGCATGAAAGGTTCCCTCCATTGCACCCAATAATTTACTTACCTTGCTCGACAGCTCGGGGGAAAGCGCCACCTCGCTAACTCCCATTACGGCCATAGTGGACTGTGCATAGAACAAAGTCATCTCCTCAAAGGGGTCAATGAGACCTTTATCCGTTATTCTTTTCAAGGCTGCAGTAATACACTTTTCTATGGCCGCAGGAACGAATTGGAGGCTCTGGGTGCGTAACAGCTGCGTGCGAAATATGTGGTGCAGATGCGATGTATGGGTATCGACGGATGGATCTTCAGGATCCTCAACCACATTGGCGAAAGGGACGAGCAGAGAGGCACTGAACTTTGTCATTAGTTTCAGTACGTGTGGATCATCGACAGGGGAGAGACGAGTGAAAACCATACCCTTGCCCTAGGTCGAGTTCTCGGCTTTCGAAGAATGTCTTCCGGCCCTGTGTGCCACATAGTCCAATAATCTGATGTTGACCAAGGTAATAGCTGTAGTTTCCGGTGGGCGAGTTTGCTTTGGAACTACGACAGAACTCCTTCTGAGTGAAGAAGAACTGAAGAGCACCCACCACCGGGTACCCTGAGACTAACTTGGGGGCATTGGTGGGAAACGGACGCTTCCACAGTGCCCTTAACAACTTCATAAGACATGCCAAAGCAAAGAAGTACAATCCATGAATCATGGCACGAAACGCTAAGTCAAATATGTTTGTAATGGTCCGTGAACAGAATGATGTCTTCTACGAGCATCGACACATCTTCTCAGATATAAGAGCTCCTTGTCAAGTCTCGACCGACGGTAGTAATGTGTCACTATGCCTTCAATGGATGACGGGTCCTCAGTTGCTATTGTAAGGACTGCATCTCAATTGCATTCATTACTGAAGTATCCTAGTTCGAATGATGGGCGGTGTACTGAATGTTATGACACGTCCATCGCTGCGGGAAGCGATAACCGATATACTGACATCTGCATGTGATATGCGACAAACTATTTCAAAGTAAACAAGAAGAGGTTGCATTACGCGGCTAAGTGAAGGTGTCACCCGACAAGGTCGTGCTTGTCAATGTCCGCTGCCTTGAGCAAATACCCGTGCTGCTCACACCGCTCTAGTCACCATAAGAAAGTTTTAGAGCATTGCATACTTTTACTTACAGAAAGGCAAGCTTAACTTCCACCTAGAGTTATTCAAGATGAAGGTAGCAACAAATCTTTCAGGCCGCTCCTCCAATATTTGATCAATATACGCATGTGGTGCAGAAGACCTCGGCCTAGCTTTCCCACCGCTGAGACATACCTGGGCTGGAAAATGTAAGCAAGTGAACGTAGTTTTCAAATCAAGCGACGTAAACAAGTGATGGAGCAAGCTGGGTTTGCCTGTGCCATTATAAAAGGAGACAAACCAGGTTCTTGGATAACGCCTCAGTCCAGTCCAGTCACGTTACAACCGATCAGCTGGCCAACATCCTGCGATATGGCAAGCAAGTACACATTGAAGGTCAAAAACCACCTCAATGAAGACCAGAACAATAGGGTGGGTCTATCCTATCGTAAAAGGACTGACATTGAGGGATGGCAATTAGTGGCTACCCAAGACCTTGGTCGTTTGAGATGGATTTATGTCGATGATGCGATGGAGCGCAAGGTGCGCCCACAAGATGACACAACCAAGTTCTTTCTTGACATTCCGGTGGTACGTTTTACAACGACCCTGTTTAGGAGAGTGCTCTGCTGATTAGAACGTCCCAAATTTAGGGAATTGCCGATAAGCACACAACCCAGGCGCCCTCCGAGGCCATTTACAGGGGTGTCCGATTTCACGCCAACACACAGGTTCGCTCCCTGGGATGTTGGGCCGCCGACCTGAGCTGCATTTTCTTCGTGACCCCGATGCTGGTCTTCGCGTGGTATATTACCGGGGCCCAAATCGATGAAGCTTATGTGGTAGAACTGATCCGCTATATGTTCAATTGCCAAAACCCCGACGATGGCGGCTGGCCGACATACTTGGGAGAGGAGTCTTCACCAATGGGAACAAAATTGGTGTACATTGCCCTCCGGCTCATGGGGGTTCCAGCCGACGATCAGCATCTTAGCAAAGCTCGTTTATACTATCGTAGACACGGCGGAGCAGTCTACCTGCCGGGCTGGGCCAAGTTCTGGCTTGCGCTGCTCGGTCTATACGACTGGGTAGGTACTGATCCCTACCCAGTGGAGATGTGGTGAGTTTCTGCTCTCTTTCACATGCGCTGCTTTTGGATTGTGGCGATATTGACACATGCCAGGCTCCTGCCAGAGTGGTTTCCAGTCAGCCCCTGGAAATGGTTCGTAGTACCGCGCCAAGTGTACCTTCCCATGTGCTACCTCTCATCTCGAAGATTCACAATACCCACTAATGAGCTCTTGGACGAAATTCGGGTGGAGCTGTTCCCAGAAAACTTCTCTTCTGTGGATTTTACCGCCTTCGGAGGGGTCGTACGATCATCCAAGCGACTTCAACCCAAAAGCTGGGTACTACAGACCTTGAACTGGGGCTTAACTAATGTGTGGAATCCATGGATATGCCCTAATAAACTGAAGGAAAAAGCAGAAAAACGTGCGTGGGAAACATTGGAAAATATGGATCGGCAGAGCAACTCAACTGGTATTGTCAGTATTGACGCATGGCTCAACATGATTGCTTTCTATTGCGCCGAGGGACCCAATTCACCGGCCTTAAAACACATGCAAGACGTGAGTTTGGAGTACTTGTGGATGAGCGCGTCGGGTATGCAATCCATGAGCATTCATGGAGGCCATGCGTGGGAGACGTCGTTCGCTTTGCAGACTCTTGCGTATACTGGCCTCGCAAACCACCAGGATTTCCGGCGGAATGCTGTACAGGCATATGAGTTTTTGATACGGCAGCAACTGTTGGAAGAGTGGGATAATTCCCCTTATTGCCACCGTCCAAGTCGTCTAGGGGCCTGGCCATTTACCACCCGTTACCACGGCACCCCTTGTTCGGATTGCACTGCAGAAGTGTTGAAAGCCATTCTTATGGTCGAAAGCGAAATGGGCCTCCGACAGATGAAGGATCAGAATATATGCCTCGCGGTGGACAACCTGCTTCTAATTCAGAATGCTAGCGGGGGCTATAGCAGTTTCGAACCCATCGCTGCGGGCAGTTGGTTGGAGTACTTTAACGGGACCGAAATGTTCGGGCAAGTGATGACAGAACACGACTACGTGGAGTGTACGTCTTCGTGTGTCACAGCTTTGGCACTTTTTAGAGCTCGGAACGGTGGGTACCGGCGCCTGGAGGTGGATCGAGCCATTGAGCGCGGAGTGAAATATATCGAGACAAGCCAACGTAACGATGGGGGCTGGATGGCCTCGTGGGGCATTACTTTTACATATGGTGCTTTCTTTGCCATGGAAGCCCTGCACTGCGGAGGACGGACGTATGAGAACTCCCCCGTGGTCCGGACAGGTTGTCGCTTCTTACTTGACCTGCAGGAGCCGGACGGAGGATGGGGAGAGACGTTAGAGGTTTGTAACTTCCCCTTCTTTCCCTTGAACTGTCGCAAGCTAACAAGTTTCCTACTTCCAGTCCCGCTTAGTTAATAATTATGTGCGAGCACCCAAGTCGAACACTGTCCAGACCGCATGGGCTTGCATGGCTTTGATGTACGCCGGGTACCCTGATTCAGAGCCCATAAAAAGGGGACTTCAACTCGTTATGAGCCGACAAAAAGCCAATGGGGAATGGGAACAGGAATATCCTGTCGGCGCTGGCATCCTTACATGGTGGGTCCCTAGTGCCCTTGAGAATTTTCGGGCTAGTGCTAATTACCCCCCGTGCTGCAGTCATATTCAGTATCACAATTTTATATATTCTTTTCCTATCCGAGCATTAGCTATGTACGAAAAGACGTACGGGTGGCCCATAGCATTGAAATAACAGCGCTACTGTGTTGGTACATGACTATCTACTAGATGCACATATTCATTCCTCCGTGTTACGGTTGTGATATATCTACTGGTTTTACGGGCATTATATTTAGGAACCACAAATGCCAAACGTCGTGTTCACACAACCGATCTTTGCTTCGTTCACAGTGCAGAAGATACTTTTTTTCTCGCATCTAAACTGTCCGATGTTATGTTTTAATTCCTTCTGTCGCGATTGTGGATGCCATTGAAACATAGTTTCCCACGACTAGAAGATCTTAACTCAAGAAGCTCAACAGCGCAGCCTGGGCCTTTTACTTGCGTTACTCCAGAAAGGGAGTGATGACCACAGGAGGGAAGCCTTCCAGTAATTTACTCTGTCACTCGTAAAACTATTTTCGGGTCTCACATAGTGGTCCAAACCATGCGCCCCCAGTCACCTCCTGCCAGCCCTCGTTCCCGACGCACCGCCAGCACCAAAACACATTTTCGGGGTCGTACTTCTTCTTGACGGACGCAAGCCAGTCGTAGTTATCTCCAAACCAGTCCTGCCTCCAGTCTGGGTCGTACGGATCGGCCTCGTTCAAATAGGTGCCCATGCCCGGAGCCATGTCCTTCATTGCTTTCAATTTTATTTGGGTGAGATCGTTTCGGTATTGTTGAATCTCCTCGGTACCGGCATTGTCGGGCCAGAAATCGATTTGCTGGAATAGGAGGTGGGACCTCCGCCACGCGGGGTTCATAGATGTATGAGGGACGGGGTCGAGAACCTTTCCGCCGGCGACGATGTTAAACAGGGTTGCCCAAAGGGTGCTATTTGGGACTGTCTGAGCAGTGACGGTCTCAAGAAGGCTTGTTAGATTATTCTTTGATGACTCCAGTGTTTGCTTGTCAAAAAGTCGTGACGCCATGATCGGCCTGTTCGAACCTGGTGTTGTATGGTGCGTGCTGGAGTAGTATGCATGGAAGGTCGGATAGGTGGTGAAGGTGGATGTAATTAGATACGAGGTTCCGTTGTGCGGGAGCAGGTCATCTAGAACGAGCTGGTTCATGACATCTTTTGCGCTGTCTAGAGCTTCGGTGGAATTGTTCTCAAGCAGATTCAGGAAAGGGTGGGTATATACCAGCGGTCCGGCATAGGGTGTGAGGATTGCAGTGCCAGAGTATCCTGCGTCTGAGAGAGCTGGCAATTTGGACATTATGTTGCCAGTAGCGTTGATAACGGCATCGTCATTTCCGTTCAGTGCAACGATGTCTAGGTTATGGGCCAGGACAGGACGGGTTGGGTGGGTTTTGATGGTGGCCGATAAGACCACACCATAGGTGCCTCCACCACCTCCACGGAGGGCAGTGAAGAGGTCTGTATACTGGCAGGCGTTGGCAGTAACAAGCTTTCCCGATGCTAGCACAACTTTGTATTCCAGAACCTGGTCTGCCCCGAGTCCAAAGAAGTGGCTAACGGGACCATGGCCACCCCCTTGCATGAAGCCTCCAAGGACACCAACAGTCTGATCTATTCATTAACACGGATGCGTATCATACTTCGGCCTCCAGGGATACACTTACCGGATCTGCCCCACCAACAGCGATGACACCATGCGTGGCAGCAAAATCGTATACGTCCTGCCACACATATCCACCGCCTACAGTGATGGCACTTCCAGTCCAGTTGGATGGACAGGATCCATTCCCAGGAATGTATCTGTCGTGATAATGAAGTCCATCTTGTATGGACTTAATCCAAATGGAAAGGCTACCATATCCTTGCGATCTAATATAGTTAGTGCGTATACAATCAGGGAACTCTGACACTGTGTTCTTACCGCTGCGAAATATCATGGCCTGTGTTTTTAATGACCAACCTCACATCGTGGTCCCTTGCAAATTTAATCCCGGCAGCAACATCAGATGCGGTTGTCGCCTTGACACTGTACACGGGATAGTTTCCCAGGTCGCACTGTGGATATCCGGCCAGAGTGGCATTGACAGGGGGGCAGCTTTCCACGAGTGGATAGCTATATCCAATGGGAAACTCTGCCAGATACTCATTGCTCGTCCAGTTGGAGCTGATACGTTGACAGAGCTCGGAACTGTAGCCTGGGCCTTGGTAGCATGGTTTAGCAATCGGCTCGTTGCGCGCCAGCTTTCCGTCAACGGAGCTGTTTAGGGCGCTCCATGTGTCTATAGAGGGCCAGCACTCATCCGTAGGGGCCTGTGTCCCCAAGAAGTAAGCTATCCCCCCGTCATCTGAGAGGGAAGGAGATCAGGTGATAACATACACATTTGCATTTGGCAAATACTGACTGTGCTCCAGCCAGGAGTAGGATACTGCGAAGAAGCATTTTAACGTGAACTTGTCTTGTCGTATTATTGTTGAATATTCAAAATTCATTGTCGCCAGCAGTGTAAGTGAGATATTTTATATTCGTCGCTCCTCAATGCTCAACAGGCGACACCGTAAGCAGCGCAATATGTTGCGCCCATAGCCACCGAGCACGGAACGGAAGCCGACCTTGCCCTCAGAAAGTAACGGGCAGCGACGTCCAGGGACACGATCCAAAACACTGTCACCTTCCACTTTGAACATGTCTTACAAGACCTCAAGAAGCCAGTTCGATGAACAACCCAGTTCTGAGCGGAGTGAATAATGTAAACATCATGCCCTAGAACAAGTCGAGGCCCACATTGCGCTGAGAGAGGGACATGATTCGTCGCAGCGAAAATATCTCCAGCTGATGCCGATCCCTCAGCCTCATGGGGGTCATGGAAACCGGCCATCTTCAAACCCTCCACGGTCGCATTACTCCTCTATCACCTCCGACCAACTGCGATCCCGAAAAATGCAAGGACAAAAAGCTCAACGACGCCCTAGGGGCAAATATGCGCGTTTAATCTGCCGGGGGTGCCGAGCTCGTAAAATCAAATGCGTGCTGGCTTGCCCACTGGCCTCATTAGGCCCATTGGGTACTCCACAACCCCCGACAACATGTTGCGAGAGATGCCGCAATCTCGATCTCGAATGCATTGTCGAGAGCAATCCTCTAGGCCGGCCAGCAACGAAACGCGCAAATCGCGGAAATGTGGCCAGCAAATCGCCCCAGCCAGATACTTCCAATTCCCCGCGTCTAAGCCCCCAACACAACGAGAAAGCGGCCAAGCTCTCCGACTCCATTCAGCACTATCTTTTCTCGGGCGCGATACTAGATGACCATTCCATGCTGCAGGAATTGCCGGATGCCACGGAGTCTACATCCGATGCCGACCGTCTTTACCATGCCATGGCCAACACCAGCACCTTTATCGCGGGGGTGTTGGCTAAGGATGCTTCTTTCGGCTCCACCATTCAGCTGGTGTCTACTTGGAGCACTTCTCTGGCAGATACAGTGAGCCATGATCTTGCTGCCACGCTTGACAACCTGTAAGATCAGGCGCAGAACTATGCTCATTCCATCAGCTGGCTAAACCCTTGCTAGATTAGCGTGGCACCGTCTCTTCGTTATTGGCACACCAAGCCTGCTACACCTGAGAGAGCGCTTGTTCTCCACCGATCCCAATACTAATAATGTGGCCACCAAGCTGCTTTTTGCAGTCCTTTGCTTGGCTGCCTGTGAAATTTCAGAAAGTGTTCGCCGTCAGAACGAATCCCTCCGAAATACTCTACTGCAGGCCGTTTCGTCATACGGCCAGGACTTCATCTTCAGTCCTCCCACACACATAGACTCCGTTGCTGTCTGTCGCTTCATATCGGCGTTCAAGCCGACCGCCTTAGCCACGTCTAAAAGAGTTGCCAGTCAATCCATCAAAGCCGAGCTGTATCTGACCATAGCATATCGGATCGCAGAGCGGCTAAGATTGTTACCTGAGCCAGGAGCCATACCATTTCTGGATAAGACTGCAACCGACAGTGTAGTGATGGAGCGTGAGCTAGTCCTATCAATCCAAGGCCTTGAGATTACAGCCGAGGAATTTCTGATGGGTGACTTTTTGACTATGACCCTGCAAGGTTTCCGACAGGTTCTTCAACGGATGCAACCTCATATAGACTCCTATCAAATGTTCCTGGAAACACACTCCTGTTCACCAGTCATTATCTTCCATGTAAAATGGATTACGGCCACATATATGCAAATTGAGGCAATGGCAAACTCTAAGCAGTCCTGGATGAGTCCCAGTCGGTTGTTCATCGTTGTCGAAGAGGGCGAAAAGAAATGCCTCGCAGAGGTTAATTCTGCCTATCAATTATTATCAGAGGCAGCCAAAGATGAACGGCAGAATGAGGTTGCTATCATGTCCTCACTGCTGGAGCTGCGCTTCCATGCCGTTATTGCCAAGATTTTTGGCCTCGGGCTTTTCTATATATCGGTCTGGAAAGCAAGAATGGAAAAGGATCGACCACAAAAGGGCACTGAAATTTACCCGGATGAAGCGAGTCAGATGGGCAACACCGTCATTAATTCCATGATGACAACACCTGACTCTCAAAGCGACTCGCACTTTTTCAAGTTCTTGCGTCAATTTGGTGGAAGGTATCCAGACAAGCTGCAAGGGATTCTAGCCAAATTCATTGAGGCCGCATCAATGAAGCACGGTGGCATTGACTACATTGCGCCAGTTCGGCCAATCGTAATCGAGGTTGTTAATCTATGTAAGAATATAGTGGAAAACAACCTTATCCGGTTCAAGGGCTCCGGAAGGTTGCATCCCAACTTTGACAAACAGCTCGATCTTTTCAAGCAGTGCGCCGATGCGCTGGTTGCCATGGTGTCCCAATCAGGAAACTCTCCGGAAGTTGCCTTTAGGAGCGGCTGTATGTATATTGCAAGCAGCAAGATGCTCAACGGTCTGCAGGATTTGATGTATACTCTAAAACAGCAGTCTTCTATTGTCAGAAAGTATGATGAGGCTATGGGAGTGGTGGATACCCCGGTAAATACGACCGAGCCTTTCGCAATGCCAAACGTGCAGTTCAGCTCCTTTGAGGCATGGAACATGTGGCCATATCCGAACACGATGCACGGTGCTTTTCAACCGGGAGATATGGTTGATTGGGGTCAATTGTCTAGCACCATTTGGCAACCAGACCCAATGACGGATCTTCCTAACACTGCCATAAGACTGCCGGGTACGGCTGCTGGGTTTGAAAGCAGCATGCCACCGTTTCACGAATGAAATGCACATGATGCGTCGGGGTAAATGGCACTATGCATACAAGCACAGTGTGCCAACTTTAGCCTGGTGGGTGAAGTTAGAGAGAGAGCCTTGTCATCTCGAATTATGGTACTATGAGTTGTGAATGGTTAAAATCGTTGTATGACCAGACAGTTGATTGCACTCTATGTGGCCCTGGTGCATCCTCTCATGCTTGCTGCCTTTTCCTTAATGTGAATACAGGTGTATCACTTCTTATTTAGTGATTCAATGGCATCAATATTTCATGGCTATCATTCTATATGCATCTTAACTACTTGAATTTCGCATCAAGTTGTAGGGATCTCAAATTCTTGCCCGTTTCTCATCTTCCAAGATGAGCGCACCTATAATTATTTTTAGAATCAACTGCAGAATAATCAATGTAGATTTATACCAAATACAGACTTCGCAACTTTTTCATCGCGCAATTATTCCCGTATCTTCATGATCCTGAGGCTGACCGCGCAACTTCGCGCAAATTAAGCATGCGGCAGCCGCCGATCGGCTCCACCATGGTCTTGGCATACTGATTTACTTGAGTGCGATAAGGCTGTACATCCCGACCAGCGGCTTATTTGCGCTCCTAGATGCGCCTAGCGGCGTTGTTCGATGACAGATCTGCTGTGTTTCTTTTGCTCGGAAAATGAAATAACGTAACGTACTGCGCCCGAGCATATCCTCTAGCCCTGTTGCTCTTTGATTTTGGCGAGGCTTTGAAGGGTGATGATGAAAATATATAATGACTTGTTTGTCGTCGTCAAAACGATTTCAATGAGCTGCTGAACTGTCGATTTACGCCGCATTGCCAATTATATTTGTTTCAGTTTGATTCAATATGTCTATCTTAAGTCGAAGTGCTGGCAGCTATGGCTGTCCTATACCGGACCATCTCGAACAACGTGAGTAGTTGTTACATCCTTATACCACAGATGCGACGAACTAGCTGACCTCGGGACAGTCGACGTTGGTCCCTTCGTGGGGAATCTCACCTTCTATCAATTCAACATCATTGTATCCGGTGTTTGCACAGCGATTGTGTTATTCCTCATCTTGGGCCTTATGGGTCGACATGCGATGCATATGAGCAATCCTAACGAGCAACTAAAGTAAAGACATTCGACAAAGGGGGGAAGTATCGAGGTTGCTGACAATATTGTGATAGAATAATGCGAATCTGCAACCTCATCCCGTCATATCAAGTCCTTTCCTACATCTCAATCTGCTTTCCGAACTCCTACATCTACCTACAAGGGTTCACCGAGGTTCTACAGGGCGTGGCGTTATACGCCTTCCTGATGCTACTTTGTGATTACATGGCTCCTGATGATAAGAGCAAAGTGAAGTTTTTCTCTTCGCTCGAGACGAAAAGACAGTGGCAGCCGAAGAAGAAGAGGAATGGTCTTGCCTTTTTGAGTGTGAGTTGTTCGGCAGCAGAAAAGGCATTAATGTGAACAGTAACTGATCGCTTCTTTCCGTCTAGTTGACCTGGTACTCAGTCCTCCAATACCCTGTCATCACTTGGAGTACCGCTATTGTCCAAGTAGTGACACAGTCAATGCATGTCTACTGCCTTGAAAGCAACGCTCCTCATTTCGCTCACATTTGGGTATGTAATATGTTTCCATGTCTGACTGCGTTGTAAATAGTCACTAATAAGATCAACAGCTCCAAGTGGTCACATCAGTGTCAACGTCCATAGCCATCAATGCTATAATCCAATTCTATGTGAACATGAAGGGATACATGACAGAGCACAAGCCACTGCTGAAGCTAATGGCATTCAAACTGATCGTTGGTCTAATCTTGCTTGAGAAGGTATTCATCAGGCACCCTGAAAATGTATCCAGAAACAAGCGGATATATCTAACACCAACTAGATTCTGTTCCTCATCCTCACTAGCACAAAAGTTCTCACATACCCGCCTTCGATGACCTACATCGACACACTGATGGGCCTCCCAACAATGCTTATCTGTGTGCAGATGGTGCCGCTCTCCTTCCTAGTTCTTTATGCCTACCGCACAAAACCCTACGAGATCTCAACCTCGGTGAGCAGGCTGCGACCCCAGGCATACCAGGCTCTTGAGTCAGACCAGGACGAGGAGGTCTTACTGAACGACCCGCCCAAACGGTATCAAGGTGGAGCTTGGGGTTTACGTGCCTGGGCTATGTACTTAAACCCGCTCGTACTGTTCCAGGATGTCTATTCGGCTTATGTCATGATACATAATGCGCGGTCTCTGCAGAAGGTTCAACAGAGGGAAGAACCAGAGCAGGAGGAGATGGCAGGGTGGGAGACGAGGTATGACCCTTGTGAGAGGAGCCGACGAATGGCTTGAGAAGCCAAATTCAAAGCCCACTGCAGGTGGCGTGCATTGTGGCGGAGAGAGTGGAGGGACCCTGGCGAGATTTCACTGCGATTGACAGGTGCATTAGCTATGGAACAACAAAGACCCTTTCATAAGTTTGGATGGTACGATGACTCAGTGGTCGAGACGGTTTAGTTAGTTGTAGAATTTAGGTGAAGGATCCCTTTAAAACATTACTTGTCTAACGGTGGTTCCTCGATACTTTTGCTTTTTACTTCGTCAAGTGTCTCCATTACTTAGGCGGTATGAATGTTGCTATGAAGTGCCATGTTAGGTGTTTCCGGTGCCTTCATCTTGCATACATGGCAGTATAAACGTATCTTGACTACAAGGAGTTACACCTATCTATAATAGTTAGTGCTTGAAGAACGGGAAAACATTAGCGATGTGGATAACCCTTCTGTTATATCGAACTAGGGACACGTCAATCTCAGGAGCATACTTCAAAACGAATGACAGCAGTTGTCAAAGCTTAGATCCTCTTATTCTTCTTCCCAGGAACAGTCCTTCTCTGCACACTCTGTTCAGCGGCTCCTTCCACATATGAAGTTCTGCTACCAAAGAACATAACAAAACCAATATCAATGGTCCATCAAACATCCGGCCCGCGACACGGGTAACTCAATTACTTCAAGATCCTATATTCCTCCTTTGCATGGCAACCAATCTCCCTGTTTTATTTTGATGCTGGGGACTAGGTGGGAGGTTATCAAATTCAAAACCAACCCGGTGCTGGGTAATTGGCGTTCTCCACGGTTGCCTCCTGTGCGGACTGGTCGTCACTCTTGGTCTATGAATGTCCAAGTCAGCCCTCGTTCCTATCAAAATCCCATCCCTGTTTCCCTTTCGACAAAGCATTCTGGGATTCTCCGAGGGTCATGGGTGTATAGTGCATTCTTACCGAGGCAGTCAAGGCGAGGGTCGCGGAGACCAGCATGAGAGTGGTAAGAAGAAACTTCATTCTGAATGATCGGTGAAAGGGGAACGAGCACGATGAAGTGGAACGAGAAAGAAGAAAAAGCAGAACGTGAATTCCAAGGGCAAGAGGAGAAATTCGAATTAATTTTGTGAATCTAGATGTGTCTAAGGGATTTATTCCAGTTTGTTGGAGACGGGTTGACTAGGTGGTTCGAGGGGGCCTTTATACTTGAGCATGATAGTCAGGTCAAATTTCCTTGCGTATAATTTGATCACCTCTGAACTTGCCATATCCAGCATTGTTTGTCTACACCTCTTTGTGTAAGCGTCATACTTAGCTGGAAGATCAGGGATGGCGAGCCATTAGGTATGGATGAGTAGCAAGGATGGCAAGCAGGGGGGAACAAACTGCATGTATGCTGAAAGAAATGTGTGATGGACGAAAAGACAAACATTTAACTCAGGTGAGAATATCTTGAGTGATGCCTATACCGATGAGAGACATCAACCCGCGATGCACTTTATGGGTCTCATTATGAATGATGGTTGTAGCGCTGCAATGCAGACTGGACAAGCATGAAAGTAGTTATGAGATGAGATTGAAACGAAGACCTTCGATCTGTACATCCATGAAGCGATAAATTGCGCCAATTTGGTATCGTTGATATAATCCTGATTCTTACTATGTTGGTGTATGGCTTCTGAGCTCTGATCCACCTATCTTGTCCTTACATGGAAGCCTCTTCCGCAACATTCGACCCCGGGATGAAGACTACGGCGCCTTGTTTCACAGCTGGCAGCCTTGCTTTTCTGGCTCCTCCCCAGCTCCATTCTCTGAATGTAATCACTTCTGCAAGCTGGGATGCAAATAATGGCGGACTGTGTTGGGTACTACTTAGTCATCCCAGCAGTAGCAATGATGGTGAGGGGTCGGCAACATTAGACAGGGCGTACCTGAACTGAAACACAATGTCACACGTTATTGAGCCTTGCATGGTATGGTGCATGCCGAGGGGTGATCATCCGCGGCGCTACGATCAACCGTCTTCCTTGCAGTGCTGTCTCGGGACGAATTCCTTGCACGAATCAAAGGTGATAGACCACTTCTTTAAGCATCGCTTCGAGGGGGCCTTTTAAAAAGCTACAACAGTATCACTTTCATCTCGAACTGCACGTCATTATTGTCAGACTAAAAGGGCGATAGATCCTTTTGCAATGAGTGACGCAAAGTACAAGGAATTAGATGAAGACAATGAGTCTGGAGCTTTGTTGTCACAGACCCGGACTCGAGATCATCGATCCCTCCGCCAACTAAATGTGTCGAGGCTCTTGCTCTATATTTCTCTAGGATTCAGCATTTCCGTCAATCTGCTTGGGTTGTTGTATGCTATCCGACACTCCAATGATATCATTATTTCAAATCCCCTTTTTTGTTAGTTGATCCTTCACACAAACCTTAACATCGCAACCGCGGACTTTGTTTTACTGATGCGACAATCTCGATAAAACAGCACCAGCAAACAAGCTCATAAAGTACAAAACCGTGAGATTTGAAAGCGGGTTCGCGAAAAAGACCCCGTATATGGGTCCGCCCACCGAGGCTTATGACAAAGCCTGGGAGGATCTGTACAATTGTAAGATATCCTCTGCGTACCCAAATCGCATTGATGTAACACTTGACTGATCTGTACTCTATGATATCGTCGTTCAACGGACAAAGACGGTATCATCAAGATTCCCCAATCTGAGGCAGCCCAGCTAGTAAATTACACCATGCCACTAGCCTCCGAGCCAGGAATGTACATGGTGGAGTTAGACGTGTTCCATCAGCTTCACTGTCTGGTAATACCACCGAACCCCCTAGTTCGTCCAAAAGATCGTTTTCCCAGTGAATCTAATACTCCATTTTCCCAACATCATATCCACAAAAAGGCCTGGGGCCACGACATGGGCGTTAATATGAGTGACCCGGATGATGTAGAGAACTTTTGGACACATTTGGACCATTGTTCTGAGTCGATTCGTCAAAATCTAATGTGCTCCTCTGATCTATCAACTATCCATTGGTTGTGCGTAGAAGAAGACCAGACATGGAAAGCAGATGGCCGAGTGATGCACACCTGTCGCGACTTTGAGGCGATTCGGGACTGGGCGTTCGAAAACAGGGCAGGTATGATAGATCGTACTGTGTGGGTGCCGGATCCGTTGAGGGGGGAGATCTAGGAAGCAACTTCGAGTTTCCCACGAAAACCCTTTCCTGTGGTCATGCGAAATGGTTGTATGCATTGTTTGGCTACTTCGTGATTCGGGCCTGTCTAGTGTGGAGCTGCTGCATAATGCACCCAGATCAAGTAAGGAATATGTCAGTATCGCGTCCCACCCGTCCGAAAGGGCAAAATTCCACCTGGCAAAGCGCCACCCCCAATTTCTCGAACCAGCTTGCCTACTGTCATATTGTAATGGAGGTCTTCACATAGTGTACCTTGATACTTTCTCGTAGCCGTAATTCCTACGAAGCGTGACTATGTGCTCTCATTGGATCACGATGCCGCTGCACTGTTGGTCTCGACGCTAAAGTGGCCTGGTTCACCTTAGGTGTACGACAACTCTCCCTACTATTACACTCTGCTTTACCTCTACACCAGGAGATGGGACTATTTCTCTTGCTAGATAAGCAAAGGTAGAAGATATGTTGGGACATCTACTCGTTAGAAGCAAGGAAAGGGCAGAGAGTTGTATTTGTTGTTCCTATCTAGGGGTTGCGCAGCGAGACGCGTAGAAGTAGGGGTTGTTTGGTATGTAAGGGTCACGTGACCGAGGCTACTAGTATTACTGCTTCAACAAGATATCTTGTTTTGCACACTATTGCACGGGATAGCCTGTCCCAACATGCTCACTTATAACTTGGCCCTGGCCTCCGGGGACACCGCAACCACGACTAGTACTGCCTCGTATCCTGAGCTCTAGCAGACTTAAAAGGAGGTGCGCGCAGCTTTGGTGGTGTCACTCACATGACTCTGCGATGGTCCCCTTTCACCCCAACATTGGGAGGGGTCATATCTCAGGCTTCGAAATCGTCAAGGTGGTGTGGTCGCACCGCATCAGCGTTCAGCGCGTCAATCCGCGCCGCCGCGGAGATGATGAAATCAACCTTTCGCAGTGGGCGCCATTACCTGCTGCCGGTACATCATCCCTTAGGCTCGAAGACCACCAGACAGACAACTCTGCCGAAAAGCCAAGTGTGTGCCACCAGTGCGTCTTGCAGCGGAACTCGTTCGCAACCACGACTATATTACTACCAATCGAGACATCATCATAGGTACACGCGAAGTTTTCGAGGAGGTGATATGCCCCCTGCGCAAGATGAAGGCGGTGACTTCCACCCTGGTAATCCAGCCCTTGCTTCGCTCGTCGACAGCCAAAGGTGACCGCAAAAATGTTAGCGTACTCTTCACCCGGCGTCGGCGCAGGGTAACAGCTACATCGGCTCGCGGTCGCGCGAGATCATTTAAAAGCCCGACGCGGTAGTCAAAGCGATGGACATTATGAGTCAACCGTATCGGTAATCGATTGATTGTCGAAATAGTGTAGGCTACTTCAGGGCATAGATGTTACGGAAGGCTTGGAAAGTCCTGGTTTCAGACGGGCGCCATCATTGGGGACGTCTTTGTGGTTTCGAGCTCAGCTCAGAGAGGATATAGACTACTGCAACAGCATCAGCCCAAACGACTTTGGTGATAAGTACGACTTTTGTTCATGAGTGAGGAAGAAGGGGTAATGATGATAATTATATTTAAGAAATTGATACAGAATAATCACAAGACCGTCCGGACATATACAACAACAAAAGAAACAAACGAAACCCAAGCAGCCACTACGGCTGTGAACCTCTTATTTCCCTGAAGCCACACAATATTAGTATGGCAAACTCGTCGTGTATTCAGATAATACGGTGTCTAACGTGATTGCTCTACCATCCTCAAGGCCTCTTCGAACTCCTCAATTGTGCGGGGGGTAAACTCCACATTGGGAGAACGCAACCTATAATTCAACGCATTAGCTCAACCTCACCACAAGATTGTATAGACAGCAGAGCCACGGGGTGGATGGATGTCAAGCATACCCCCAACGAGAACGACAGGTGAACCAAGAACAGAGCAAACCTAAGAGAACCCCGAACAACACCGCCAGCACGGCGAACCCAACGACGGCAGCGACCCCTTGTGGGGTTTGGAGAAACGACATTTGGAATCTTGAGGGGAGGGGAGAGGCGGGGGGGTCTTTTCCTTATTGTTTAGAGAGAAGGAATTTTTCTTTTCGAGAAAAGCAGCGAGAAAGGAGGATCTTCTCTTATGTGAGAGTGGGATGCTACTGGGATGGTGTCTAAGTTCTGTTTGGTATACATCAACTTCTATATTTCGAGACACCTAAGGAAAGAGCACTGCTCAATTCCAATGCCACCTTCCTTTGGAAGCACAAGTATATATCATCGGAAGTTACTTAGCCCGAGAGTGATCAGGGACAGGGGTAAAACACCGGAAGCCGCGTACAACCGGCTACCAGTTGCCAATTGATATATAATCACGGGTACTCCAATGCTGCAGTATGCATTGTGCTCCCCAACACAACCCTCTGCATGAGAAGGATTAGAGCGCTGCTAGTTGATTCATTTTGCAGACCGGATAGCAATTAGATTGAGTATATCTTTAAATCATGCAGAGCGAGAAAGACATATGACCAGCGACTACTCTCCAACGCTACCCAACTTATACTGCGCCCTCAAGAGTTTAACGATGTGATCAGCCAATGACCCCAAATTGCCAGCCTTTGTAATTTCAGACAACGGGACATCAAGATGAATAGTTCGCCGCACCCAACTTCTCATCTCAATTGCCACCAGCGAGTCGATTGCGAAACCGGCAGCCTCTTCATCAGTCAGTTTTCGACCATTCGAGATCGTACCCGCAATAAGGTGAGCCATGTTCCATTTGAACTCGGTAATCGCATCAGTCTTGTTCAGTAATGAAGGGTCTTGATGGACATTGTTAAGAAATTCGCGCAGCCGATGTTCAGGTCCGTTCGTTTCCTCATCCATCGACGCCTGCCCTAAGTTGCTGTGCATAGCAAACCGGGCATCGCGCCCCCATAACCGCATGAGCGAAGCGCTTTCACTCTTACCAGTTTTGTCGGAAATGCCAACGTCCAGTATTCCTGAGCACTGCTGATTCGGAAGGGAGTCTTCAATGCTGACTTGGAACGAGTCAAGGACGGCCCGTTCTGTTATGGGCTGAGCCGAGGCCACGCTGGTCGTTTGGGCAAAGTCCGCCCGCTCACTGATGATGCCTACATCTTCAACCGGGCCCAGATTCAGGACCGACGCCGCCAAACCACGCTGCCTCCGGTATGTGGCAAGCCCGGTCAGAAAAGTGTTTGAGGCAGCGTAGTTGGCCTGACCCAGGGACCCTGCGGAACCAGCGATCGAACCGAACATGACAAAGAATGACAGGTCCATGCCCTGGGTTGCAGTGTGTAGATTCCAGGTGCCGGTGACTTTGGGGGCTAGCCCGCTATCCCATTCCTCCGGTGTCATGTGCTCGAAGGTTCGGTCCTTTTAAATGACTATCAGTTCATGGTGTCGATAAAGGTGGTAAGTGGCGGTTGTCAAACCTGCAAATTCAATGCCATCTGGACGACGCCAGTGAGACGGTTCGTACAATTTCCGATTGCTCGTTGAACATCGGCAGGGTCAGTAACAGTGCCTGCCACACAGCTAACGCCGTAGCCTTGAACCTCTAGCTCCTTTATGAACTTCCGATGTTCATCCTTCTCAGCCGATGGGGAGAGGTACACTATCTCGCGAGCCCCATGTTCAACTAGCCACCGAGAGACTGATCTCCCAATGCCACCGAGGCCCCCGACGATGAGGTACGCTGCATTGGCTGGAAAGGAAGCCTTGGATTTTACGGGCCCGCATGGTAACTGCGCCGGATCTGGTGTCATCTGGATTACGACTTTTCCCATATGCTTACCCGTCTGTAGGTATCGGAACGCCTCCTTCACTTGGGCAGTATCAAAAACATGAACAGGCCGAATGGGTCGGATCTGGCCTTTTTGGAAAAGCTCGAAGCATGTCCTCACTGTGCTAAAAGGATATCAGTTTCTCGAGACTCAAACACATGGGAATGATGCGTATATGTACCTTATCGCTATATCAGGACGGTCCCGACTGACGTTCGCAAGATTAACCGCATGAAACGAGCGGTCTTCGGCAAACGGGCTCAGACTGAGCAATCCATGGGATAGAATGTCACGTCGTCCGATTTCAATCATTTTCCCATAGGCTGCCACACATTCCCAGGATGCATGTAGTAACTCACCACTCAGTGAGTTGAGGACGATGTCGACTCCACGTCCACCAGTGGCTCGCATAATATCCGGCAGGAATGATGTATTGCGGGAGTGGAAGATCAGCGCTCTGGGGATCCCATGGGTGTTGACAAGGTACTCTGCCTTCTCCTCGTTTCCAACTGTGGCATAAATCTGCATGAAACATTAACCATACGCACGAAGTGCTGCCATGAAAAGCACGATGGGCTACTTACCGTAGCACCGAGCATCTGGCAAATATTTATGGCTGCGATACCAACCCCACCGGCAGCAGAGTGAATGAGGACCGACTGGATGGTTAGTTAGCCGACATCTTCCCTATACTCTATAGAATGGCAAGTGAACTGACCTGTCCCTTTTGAAGGTTCCCAACCTGCATTAGCGAGTAAATAACCGTGCAATAGACTGTCAGCATGGCGGCACCATCTCCCAAAGCAAGGCTATCCGGTAACTTCGAGAGAGCCCCTCGACGTAGAACCGTACGGTTGCAAAATAGGCCGGTCCCCAATGCCCCGACGCGGTCCCCAGGGGCCAGGTCAGTTACATCTGGAGCAACTCGACGCACCACTCCGGTTGCTTCTAGACCCATATCGCTCGGGTTCCCTATAAGTCCCATGGCAACCAAAGTGTCCTACTTTGCCGTTAGAAATACCATCAGACATGGAGAGAAACATGGGAATTTACCTTGAAGTTCAGCCCCACGTAGCTCATGTCAACCTCAACCTCTCCACTCTTCAATTGTAGAGGCGCTACACCAGGTACCCACTGCAGTGTACTAGTCAGTCCAACTTGCTGGATTCCCAACTTCCGTGGTGTATCTATGACAGGCTGCGTCGTGAGGTGATGCGACAGCGACGTTCGATAGGACCGAGCAGTGTGAACAACGCCACCGTCTAAAACGAACTCATACTCCAGATCCGTATCTGGTATTTCACGGGCCTGCTGAATCTTCTCATGTAGTTCAACTAGTGTCTCGGGTGCAGGCTTTCCAACGGAATCAATCTCCAAGAGTGATAGATCTAGCGATAGTTCGCGCCTCAATACCCGAGCAAGACCATGGATAATACTGAAGCGCGGATCCGTGCAGCTAAGTGTACTAGGCTGCGCTACCCATAATATCCTGCATCCCTTACTCTGCATTAAGAAGCGTTGGAGAACCAAAAATTCTTCCTGGGAACACTGAGTGAAGTATGGACTGTCAACCTCCAGTAATGAAACGATGGTGCGACTGCTAAAGGGCGAGCCATCCAAGGTTGACCAGTGGAATTCATAGCCTCTTCTTCGGAAACACGCTGCCACATCTCCAGGCCATCCTGCCTCCTCCGGGTTAGAAGCCAGGATAGTTACCTCTCTGTCAGGGATCGGCTCCTGAACAGGCCTAGAGATGATGGTGAATAACGGCTGAACCGAACCCTCGAGATCGCGCTCGATTGTCTCGCCTCCAGTAAATCCAGCTGCACGAAGCTTCTTGTCCCATTCCTCCCCCGAGATGTAAGGTTTGTCGGGGCGTCCATCGTTTTCACCCAGCCACCAGCCAGGAAGCGCACCCTGCAAAATGAGTCGAAGGGTTAGCGCAATGCCGTGGACATGCGGTTCATACAAGGAAGACTTACCACCACGTAGTCCGTAACAGGTGTATCTAGAATTGTCTCTTAGGAAGAGCTTTTCACATAAGCGAATAGAGCAAAGATGCTTACCCGAATAAAACTCCTGTAGCAGGAAGCGCCCATTCTTGGCAAGCAGCTTGTTGGCGTGTAGCAAAGCCTCATGCAGATTTGGAGCGATGTGCATAACCTAACTCGAGGTTAACCTGTGCGTGATAGTGTACATATTTCACTTACGTTGGAAGCGATGATCAGGTCGAAGCTGTGCTCCTCAAAACCTTGTTCCGTTGGATCACGTGTGATATCCAATGTTCGGTATTCCATATTGGCCTGCCCCTTGAACTTCTCTTGGGCAGTGGCGAAGAATCCCGCGGAAATGTCTGTGAAGACATAGCGAGAGAATATCTGTGCGCCGGTCGGAGACCTCAGAGAAGAGAGTGCCATTTCGCTCATAGAGCCTGTTCCGGCGCCACTCTCTAGGACTCTCATCAATGGATTCGCATGTCCAAGAAGGGAAAACACTTCCGTCAGATCAGTCTCCCGGGACAATGTGTCTTCGTAAAACCTTTCCAATCTATTGCTGGCAACGAGTACCTCTAGCTGGGAGCATTTCCCAGACATGAAATTGGCGGCATTCTCATAGACTGCTCTCATACATTCGATGATGGTTAGACCGGGTAGGTCGGCCGGTATGCTATCAAGGCGGCTGTAGATTCTCTCCAACAAGTCAGCCGGAGGCATATCATTCCACTGGCTTAAGCCTCCATAAGTAGTAGATGACCCATCATTGATTCTAGCCGACGACGGCAGCAGAACATCTTTCACTGCATAGAGAAGGATATCCTGCGTCTCCGGCTGTACTTCCTCGATCCAACTTGAGAGTGGCTGCAGATTTGCATGCACGCCAGCGCGAATTTTAGCGGCCTCCGAAAGAATCCAAGATTTCCATTTCAATAAATGCCCGGTGGATGAATCGATATGTTCGATTCGCTCAGCTGTGGCTCGAATGTGTATCAAGGAAAGGAGCCCAAGAATCCTACGGTGGGTGGCATGTCCAAGATGGGGGCGCGGAGGCAGGATCTTCTCAGGTAGCAGCAAGTTGATATCTGGCTTCCAATGTATCCTTGAAATCAAAGTCAGTGTCATCCGTCCCTGTCTTGCTAGACCCTGCTAGGCCAGCCAGGACTCCGCCTTCAAGGCTGAAAATTGCCTGGCCCTCAGTGATACCGATGATCTTTGCCTGCTGCCCTTTTTCTTTATCTTCAAAAGTCCGAGCTTCGAAAGAAACCCGTGACCATGTCCCGTTATCCACGACGAGGCGCTCAATCTTGGCGGGAATAAAGGCGCCCGAAATGGTGTGCAACCTTCCTCTTGATGCAGCTATACCGATTAGCTGAAGGGCTTGGTCGACGACAGCAGGATGGAGAGGGTAGTGGGTGCCTTTCTGCATTTCAGGCTGGTATACAGTGGCAGCTGCCGCATTGTCAATTGGATCTGCAGAGATGTCTTGCAGACGCTGGAAGTGAGGACCGTATTGCAATCCACATCGCTGGACTGTGCGGTACCACCGTAAGGGTTCCACTACTCTGGGCAAGGGGCTGACCTCTCTACTATTAGCAGAAATAGGGCAGTCACTGCCTGCACGTACGCAGCTCCTGCAGTGCACCGTCCATTTAACCCCGTCGAATGCGGATACAGAAAAGCTGTACCACCCGGACATGACGCCGTCTGCCAGCTCAATTGGCTTGAGGCTTGAAATAACCTCAACCGAAGCATCGCTGGCTATAATTAGGGGAGACTCAAACCGAATGTTCTGTATCGTATAACGGTCCAAACTAGATTCTGATTGGCTACCGAAGATATCCAACTGCCTAATGGCTTCGCCGGCCATGGCAATATACCCGGCAGCTGGGAAGACGACCTCGCCGTGCAGGACATGGTCCGACAGCCATGGCACGTCATCTAGCCGCAGCACATTTCTCCATGATGGTTCCTGGATCGTGGCTTCCATTATCATCGGGCCAAGTAGCTCATGGTGGGGGAGTGATCGTAGCCGCCAATCGCGACTTGGTCTACCCTCGCTCCAGTACATGTCAGTATGCGTCCATGGAAAGCGCGGGATATCGCTGAGGAGTCTACCAGCTTCCACGATTGTGGGAAAGCTGATAAAAGACCTTGTGTTGAACACATGTCCAGCAGTTGTGAGCAGCAGGGATTGTTGGTGGTCATCGTTGCGCGTCAGGGTGGGTATGTACACGGGAGGTGACCGAGGAGCAACTTGAAATATCTGCCGAAGAGGCGCAGATAAAGCGGAATGTGGTCCGACTTCTATGAATAGCTAGCTACCCTCGGTCTCTTTTTGGAGAAACATTTCTACTGCCTTTGAAAAACGCACAGGAGATTCAAATTCCGACGCCAGTAGCTTGGTCCAAGTTGAGAAGGATCAGTAATGATATCCCCAGTGACAGTAGATATCATTGGTCGCATATGTGGTCCTGGATTCATATGAGGTACAAGAGCATCTTCGTATGATGTTCCGATAGTCTCCATTTGCGCTGCAGAATCATATCAATATATATTTTTAGTGGCTCGGCACAGTATATGAGCCATGTTGCTTAGCGTCAAGACTTACGAGAATGGTAGGCAACCTGGACACGCAGCTTTCGACAGAAAGTTCCCGGAAAAGCCGCGGTAATGTTGCTGATTACCTGGGGAATCTGCTCCTTGGGTCCTGAAATCGTCACGTTACGAGGACTGTTTTCGCAAGCGACGACCACCCCGTTGACGAGGAACGGTAGAACTTCCTCATGGCTCAATCCAATAGATGCCATTGCACCGGAGCCCTCCTGTAACTTGGCCAGCCTTCCACGGTAGAATGCAATAATGATAGCTGATTCAACTGTTATCGCACCTGATGCGCAGGCTGCAGCAATCTCACCGCTAGAATGACCAACTACAGTGCTCGGTTGAATACCCCAGTGTGCGAGGATCTGGAGCAATCCGAGCTGTAGGGCAGTGCACAGTGGCTGGGCTAGCTCAACTTCATTGACACGCGAGTCAGTGCCCATGCGTGATAGTTCCTCTATATTCAAGTTAGTATCTGTCAGTGCATGCAGCCTGCAGGCTACTGACCAATCAATGACCATTCTGGGGGATCTGCCAAGTTCTGAAGCACCTTGTCCATCTGCTTAATCGCATTATGGAATAGAGGCTCAGTTTCGAGAAGCTGCCTACCCATTCCCGCCCATTGCGCCCCTTGTCCAGTGAACACGAACGTTAATGTAGGAGAGGGAAGTGTCTTTGGTGACATGTGAAATTGGGACTGGTCCACTGGCGTGTTCGGGTAGACCACCGCGAATGCCCGATGATTGTGATGCTCTCGTCGTGATGCTAATGTATATGCCAAGTCGTGAACGCTCGTGGGGTTAGAGGTTATATAGCCTGCTATGTCTTCTATGCGACGTTGTAAGGACTCTTTGTTGTGAGCAGAAACCACTACGAGGTGCGGACGGTCTGATCCCGGGTGGGACATCTTCTGTACCCCAAATGCAGCCGCAGAATCCAGAATGGCATGCGCGTTGGCTCCGGCTATACCAAATGAATTGATACTCACACGCTCCTGTCGATCATTCGGCCATGGTTGGGCTTTCACTGGAACCTCAATTCCGGAGCCTTCCTTCTGAACAGTGGGATTGGGCTCATGAAAATTGATGTTTGGTGGGATGGTGCGGTGTTCAAGGGCAAGGGTTGCTTTGATGATGCTAGTGAGACCCGAGGCCCCCTCGGAATGACCACAGTTTGGCTTGACCTGTTTTACCATCAGGTTAGGTTATAGAAATCCCGAAAGTCACTTACACTACCCATGAGTACGCCATGGCCCTCGAAGAGCTTGGCCACAACCGACGTCTCAACCGAATCTCCAGCCGACGTACCGGTCCCATGGCATTCGAAAAAGCCCGTGTCGAAAATTTTATGTATCTGGGCCTGTTTGTATGCAGTTCGTATGAGCGCCTCTTGCGCGGTTCCGCTGGGGTTAGTCATGACCGCGGTCCTCCCGTCAAAATTGACGGCCGTGGATCGTATTACCGCACGAACACAGTCGCCATCTCTCAAGGCGTCGCTGAGGCGCTTGATATAGACTGCATTAATTGCCTCTCCACGCCCATACCCGTCCGCATTGGCATCAAAAGTTTGACACTGACCCGAAGGCGACAGAACACCGTTTTGGTTCATGACGCTTGTCATCGTCGGGGTCAATATAAGGTTGGTCCCAGCAACGATGGCAGAGGAGCATTGCCCGGATCGAAGACCCTGACAAGCCTCGTGCAAGCCGACCAGCGAAGCGGAGCATCCGGTTTGAATAGTCATGCTATGGCCTAGTCAGCATTGTCCAAAGAAGCCCATGTTCAGTGATGCTAGTTATACCTCGGCCCGCGAAGGTCAAATTCATACGAGATTCGGTTTGACAAGGCAAAGCCTCCGGTAGCCAGGGCATGATGACGATCTGGACAGGGGTCTAGTCCCTTGAGAGACAACTCCAGCCAATCCTCCCCAAACACTCCGACATAGCAGCCTATGTCCTTTCCGCGCCAACTGGTTTCGCCGGAGTCTTCGAGGCACTCCCACACTACTTCGAGGAGCAACCGTTGCTGGGGATCCATGAGCCTGGCCTCTTTGGCACCAACGGAGAAAAATCCGGCATCAAAGTACGCAGGGTCCTCCTCCAAGAAATATCCGGTCACCGGGGCGGTAGAGGAGTGAAAGAAGGAATTCGCGTTATACCGACTCTTGGGAACAGGGCCATGCCCACTTTTGCCGGAGACGAGCATGTGCCAGAACTCATCTGCGGTGTGAACATTTCCGGGTAATCTCATGCCCATGCCCACAATGGCAATGGGTTCATCTGCTGCGCTTTCGCTTTCGCGACAAAAGCTTCTTTCGTTCATGGGAGTGCTCATCTTTGCTAGTAGTCCAGTTCAGACGTTCTCTCATTGTGATAATGGCCTTAGCGCGGGAGGAAAACATAGTTCTAAGCAGTCCTTCTTCGCTATGTGTAGCTCAAGACGTAGACTATCGGTGATGGAGAAGCAGAGTATGCTTGATTACATCTTCATTTCCGTAAAGGGCAATTTGCATTGGTCCTCTGACGGCAAAAGCCTATGTATGTCTCTAATGCTGTGCGATGCCAATGATCTGTGCAGCACAATATGGACTCAGAACGGCACGTTTCACAACGTCTGCGGGAGCAGCCCTTGCGAGGCGATGGACAATAGGGTCTACATCCTTGCTCCAGGACCGATGTATTGAATTTTCCCCTGCTTTTTTCCTTCTTCCTGTATATCTAAGTTTATCCGAAATCCAAAATTAGCGGGTTCAAGAGTACTCGCAAACAATGGTTGTCTAGCAGAGTTTCTGACCGCCTCTTGTAGGTCGACTAGTGACTCTTCGTAACATAAGCAAAAGCCCTTTTGTACATGATCTGTAGTCAGTAAGGAGTAGGCTCAGACCTATGTATTAACGTGGTCTACCATGTTTACACTGACAGCCTTTCAGAACAAGCCAATTTTGCTGCATCATTGTGCTACCACATCACTGTTGCATTTGAATTCTTTAACTTTGGATAACTTCTCATTACAGGTCACACCGCACAGTGTCTTCGCAGCCATATGAGGGGCCTTCAATCCCAGTTTGTATGTTTTGAGTGAAATATGCTAAGCTCTCAGATCTGACATCAGATCTGTGTACCTCTGCTCGAAGTCGCGAAACAATTCCAGGATTTCCGATGTAAACCCATTCGCACAGTGCTTGAGAAGTGCCGCCCGTAACCCTTCCTTGGCTTCATAGATCTTGCGCAAGACCGCCTGGACAATCGAAAATCCGCTGGGGATCTTCTTCACAAAGGGGACCTACATTTATCAGTATACATTATCACACTAGAAGCCTTCCAGGTAGTATACCTTGCTTGCAGTAGCCACAATAGCCTGAGTCAGGGCGTCGATCATTTCGTAGGTAGCAGTCAAGACTTGATCTTCCTTGTCCCGGCCTTCTGTTACCTCTGTGGATGCGATTCTTTTCTGTGCGATCAAGGCACTATCATGGACTTTGTAGGTGCCCCGAATCAAGTAAAGCAAATTGCTCATACCGCCCTGATATTGTTCGATTTGGGAGGTCATATCTTTCATGGTTTCCGTGAGCATGTTCAATTCCATGACCATGTCCGCTGTCGAAGGATAAGGCTTTCCCGAAGAACGTGGAGCAAATGCTCCTACAAAGGACTTAGAACCCGTCATAGCGATGAGGGATTAGGAGAATCCCGTACTACCTTCGCTTTGGGAAAACCGGATGGTAGATTAATGTGAAAGAAAACGGGCTACTGGATATATTATATGGAAACGAGAAAGATGACCTCTCGATCTGTGTTTTTGATCCTAAGAAAGATCAAGGAATACATTCTCCCTTGCATCTGCTGAAGGTAGAGTCAACGAATAGGCAACAATTATATGCCGTTCACAATATATTTTGAAGGGTTACACCGGATGTCCTGCAGCACAAACCCAAGGGCGCATGCTTTCGTCAGCCCCTGTTGCTTTATCTTGTTTCTACGACTGCTATCGCACGATGTGACACAAATGAATCTGGCATTCTTGAATACTAATCACTTCAATGATAAACTAATCCATGAAAGGGAGCTCTTTGCAGATAAGCCTTTTCACCCCAAATGACGGAGGTTGATGATGTCATTTGTGTAACAGACCACTAGCTCCTTGCAATCATCCCTTCGATCTCTTGATGCGCAATTGGACTCCGTTCTCGTGACACATGGTCAGGGTCTGCCGCAATGGAGGGTTGAGCCCCCAGTCTGGCCCTGGCTGAGCGCTCTCAACGGAGTCCAGGTGTTGAACTAACCTGAATACCTGCTGGCTAATCAGGATTATGGCAAATTGCTCTGTTCGAAGCATTCTAGTTAGCAACAAGTTTCATCGGGTTTCCTTGCCTGGACGCTGATTTGCTAGAGGGAACTCACGGCCAAGACACGCTCTGGGTCCACCATTGAAGGGAACGAAGTCCCACGCCGGTGGGTTGTATTCTTCCCATCTCTCCGGTCGGAATCTCTCAGCATCTGCGCCCCAGATATCCGGACGCCGGTGAAGGCACCAGACTGAATAGGCGACCATCTGCCCCTTGGAAATAAACACTGGCGATCGACCATCCGGACCACCTCCGACGGGAATTGTTGTATCATGATGGGCAACTCGCGCATTCACAGGAACGGGTGGGAAGAGGCGAAGTGCTATCTCAAACGCTTACCAGATGTTGATAAAGTAAGGATGAATTTGAATGAAATATCCTGTAGCTCACCTTCGTACAAGACACCGCGCAGATAAGGGAGACTTTGTATCTCCTTCAGGGTGATATTGCTCGCGTGTTTGTCCACCGCATCGGAGACTTCCTTTTTCAACTTACGCCACGCGACAGAGTCTCGGCCAAGAAGATAAAAGATGGATGTGAGCACGCTGGCAACGTCGTCTCGACTGGCTAAAAGAACATTAACCAATTGATCCCTCAGGAAATCCCGATCTTTTGTCTCGGCCGCCAGTGCGTGCAGAAAACAATACTCTCCTCCTTTGTGTTCAACGCTACTCCCGGGGCTGTTGATCTTGCTTCTGTATTCGATTGCCTTATCAACGTAGTACTCCACGAATTGGTGAACAACACGAGTGGACTTTCTGAATTCGCTTGAGTCGATCAGCCAGTAGTAAGAAAGTGCGAGAGTTCGCTTGAAAAGGATATCTTGGGCGTAATCGAACGCCGCAGCAAACCCTTCGTTTCTGCGATCTGACGTTTCCGCAATACCTGTCTGGTTGGAGTCTAGCTTAATGAGGGAACTAATAGACTCTCCAAATAGATAGCCCGTAGCAGAATCTAATGCCAGTCGGAACGCAAGCGGCTGGATATCAAAGATGTGCCCATCGGGTGGCAGTGCTTGCATTAGGTTCTTAGAGTGAGAGTCAAACCATTCAATCGAGGGTATCTATGACACCAATCGCGTTAGATATGCAACATCAGAGCAGTCTATGAGTGATCAACCTACTTGATTCTTCGTAAATTGGGGGCGTAGCAACTTCCTCGAGTGCTCCCAGGCTGACCCGTCAGATGTGAATATCCCTCCTCCAAGCAATGGGCGGTATTGTGGGTAACGCCACTTTGATAGTCCGAAGCTGGAAAACTGCGAGGCTAAAAGCGCCTGTATATTCTCTGGTTCGCAAGTAATGACAACGTCGTGACCCACAAGATTCAATTTCAGGGTATTTCCATACTGCAAATGAACCTCATGCAAAGTAGATCCAACTTGGCCTTCTTGAGTAGCAGTTTTCAAGCGCCAGACCGCTTTGTGACCAAACAGGCCACTTGGATAGGAAAATGCTGGCTCGCAATTCCATTGCTTCGATAGCCTTTTAGACCTATAGCTTCTGCTAATAACCTGATAGAGTTGCAGTGCCACCAAGGCTGAGAAGAACGTGGCCAATAACAGGGGGATTGCGGACCATAACATTTTCGATAAGTAGGAGTTATTCAGTGAGAGTGTAAGGCGGAATATTGTATCTATTCTGGCAGAACTGCAATTAGCTACCTGTGGTCCTTTTCCAGCCGGCTATATAAAAGTTGGATAGTCCTACAATAACTTCTTTGTCCTACCTTCGGAAAAGAAGTTTGCGATGCATGATGTGATATCAGAACATTCAACCTTTCCCAGTTTCCCCTTTTACGTATGTGCATATTGGTTACATTCCACCACTTGTATCCTTCCTATCCTTGCATCGATGGCGTCAGGTACGGAACCTGTTTCTGATATCATATTCGTCGGGTGGGTTACAAAAGGAAGGTCCACGAGTCATTGTTAACCTTGGTCTGCCTATCGCTTGAATACACTAGTAAGAGCTTCTTCGATTCTCGGGTGAATATGTACTACGATGCTTCACACCACCTCTATCTATAGATAGACAATATACATGTTCAGGATAGTGGTAGTGAGCCATCAAGTCCATATGGCCATAGAGAACGCCTTTCTAAGATTCTGGCTCCATAAATGCGATTTTGGCATGCATCAGAAGGCTGTCTTTCCAGAAGATAATCGTTTATATTTGCCTTTGGTCCCACCTAGCTTTGATGGACAAAAGGTACGAGCATATGTGAGAAAGGTGGTTTGGTTTGTCTAAGCCTTCGGGTGTAAAAGGCCATGGATGGAAAGAGAGCCCTTGTCGCGAATCAGAAGCCATTACGTTCCCATATGTAACGTGTCTCGGACTACTCAGTTTAGACCTAGAGATACTGGGATCAAAATAGCACATTGGCCATACCAAAACGAGAGGCCATGTATACCCTACCTGGTGGCACGGCAGCCCTTCCATATGCGTATGCATTTTTCCCTTTCACCTCAAGCAGGCTGCGGTGGCGGTTGCTAAGCATCTTGTGGGCAGGGTCTACTGAACTTTCATTTCCCGCGGTAGTTAGCAGCATAATTTCCGTCATGTGTGACAATGTCTCGAAGCAAGATTGTGACTTAGGGTTAGAATGTAGCCAATGGGTAACTATATGCCAACGTATCTACTAAATTGGTAATGTTATCGACCCTTGCATATTTATCCCTTTTTTATGTTCTTGTGACGGTATTGAGACGTGACAAGTCGAAAGATGCACGCTGACTTCATGAAGAAGGATATGCCGGTTGGTAGCCGTAGTACAGCATATGCACAATTCCTATTGGTCTGCTGCAGTTGTCAGATATGGAATAAGGGGGAGTCTAAGCATTGCTTCTCAACACCCCCTCTATGAATATGCCGATCTAAAACAGGTCAGTCGGATGTACTTGAGCAACAAAATTTTGTGTTACCCAGGGTGTTGCAGTGTGGCACATTAAACTTTCCCTTCATAACAACTTCAGTTAGCCACGTAGACCTCCTGTCCGGAAATCTCTACACACCCTTGATACCACCAAGAGCGCAAGAGCTGGCTTCTAGTGGCCTACGACCTGTTGCTAAGTACCAGCTGCCAGTGCACACATAGCATTTACCACATTCCCTCCTTTGGTTCGCCAAACTACAAGTGTCACTAGCTTTGACTTCTGCCCAGTACGAAAGCGGACATTGATTAGATGCTCAATATGGGAAGACACGTTAAATGGTTTCGCGACCAAGTGGTTTTCCTGACTGGGGGCACAGGAAATCTAGGCGTATGTCTTCTATACAAGCTAGCTCTGCAGTTACCCACCAAAAAGATTTTCTTGCTTTGTCGTGGCTCCGTGCAGCGTGCACTCGATAAGCTAGAGGCAGCAATGGCGGAACAATTTGACGATGTCCTAGACTCTCATCGCGTTCAGTTCATGGTGGGAGATACCTCCAAACCCGGGCTAGGGTTAAAGCCTTCGGATCTACGACAACTACAAGAGGAGGTTACCGTGGTGATCAATGCAGCGGCAGACATTTCGCTACAACAACCACTTCATCTCAGCATCCAGCCAAATTGCATAGCCCATCTACAGCTACTCACACTGCTTCGTGGATTTAGTCGCCTTAAGTCCTTCCTCCACGTATCGTCCACATCAGTGAACAGCTTTCTCCCTGACGGTATTATTGAGGAACAGATATACCCACTTTCTGATGATAATCCAGACCCAGAGAAAGTTTTGTCACAAATCCTCAGTACGGGGCAATCAGCCTACACGGATAATTTTATCGCGCCTTACGCATTATGCAAGCATCTGGCGGAGAGGCTAATCTTGAAACAAGCCGATCTGCCCTTTAAGACCCTCATTGTGCGACCGTCCCTTATCGGGCCAGCCATCCGCGACCCGTATCCCTTTTATGGAAATGATGAAGGCATGCCCTTGCAATCTGCACTCTACAACCTGGCAACGGACCCAGATTACGGGTTAGATGAGCTTGGAAAGGGAATCAACCTAGACGCCGTCTTCGACGAGATCCCTGTCGACCTGGTCGCCAGTACTTGTCTTGCTCATCTAGCTGCTGGTTCGGTAGGTATTGTTCAGGCTGCGGGTAGTCTCTATGTGGCAGCGACGACTAGTGAGATTGCCACCATCATGATCCAGGGCACGGCACCGACAGGAATCGAGAAGGTCCGTCGCGGAGAGATACGCCAGAGCCAGAATTTGGCACCAATGTTTTTCCAAGTGGCGCGGAAATATATGCGCAACTGGGATATTCGGTGTGATCGATCGGAGCATCTGAAGGAGCATACCGGTGTCTTGGGGCTTAGCCTTAATGGGCATGATCCAAACGCGTTCATGAAGCATCGCTTGCAGAATGTGTGTGATTTGGTGTTTGGTTCGTCTTCGACTTAGTCCTCGAGCGGCCGCCAACACCATTTGAACCAGATGCATGACAGTCGGATTTCAGCAGCGATTTGCCGGGGTATTGCTGTCTTAGTGATCTGTCTGCTTATTAGTCTACAGAAAGCAGCTGACTCACCTCACCATTTTTTCTTTTTAATGTTTATATACTAAGCCCGTCTACCTGCTTTCAGCATAATGTTGGTAAAATAGAGGTATCGTGACCCGATTGCTACCCGTGCTACCTAGCCCAAACATCGAGTAGAAGAATATCTTCAGTGCTAGAAGAGGGCAAAAGCCATTGATCTTGACGGATCAAACAGATAAGGCACCCAAGTAGATACACTCGCTCCAGTGGCGTACATACCATCGACTGGCTGGGGCTTCATTTCTGCTTCGGGAGACAAGCCATCGGTCCGCACTTCTAGATATTTCATTCCGTCTCCAGAGTCACATCACTTCAATATCAGACCTATGAACTCGTCACGTCACACAGGCGATATTGGTGCAAATGGTTTAGTGTCTCGAGCGCCTAAGAGGTAGACGTTTAAAACTCAATGGACGGAACCATAAACTGCGCTTCGCCGTTGTGCCGGAAAAAGCCCAGAATCTGTATCAAGGCATACTGACGCTTTGTTGACGTTGCCGATCACCCCCCATAGAGATACTAGTCAGGATCATGGAGAGCTCCGAGGTATTATTTCCCAACTTCATTCTCAGGGGAACTTCCAGACTCTGCGATAAGTGCGCCGTTCTGCTCACTTCACAAATACCTCATTATGTTGGCAGTCCAAGCAACACCCCCAACAAAAGGTGATGACGAATCTACCTTACTTAATGCAATATGAGAAGCCCAGCGTCTCTTGATTATGATTTATGATGAGCCTATGAAGCGAATGCTGTGTGCTCACCACGAACGGGAAGATTAGTATCTTTCAAAATGGCTGCGCGCAGAATGTACGCGGTCGGGAGGGTATTATGGACGGGCATGCGGGTACTGTGAGAGACAGAGAAATGAGATGCATCCACAGTACAAAGGCTACTGCACTTCGATGTGTTTATGCTGTGAAAAGGCGAGAGGATGCAGCATTATGATTGATAACTATATGAATGATGTGATGATCATCGATATCTTTTAACCCGGCTTCGACGATGCCAGGGAATCCTACACAAATAGCTGGATAAATGCCTATGTTTATGGGTTGGCTCCTGAGATATGGGACGATCTTAGCATTATTGAGAGAGCTTGACTGGAATTGTTTTGCGATTGCTGGATACTCCTTCAGGCTTTTTATCGCTGTCATCGAGGCAAAGCTTTGGGAATACATGTGTTCCTTTGTAGCGCCAGAACTCACCGGGGACCATCAAGGCTTAAGTCAAAAGTCCAGTGAATATTACTGGGGCATTTTGATCTCTCGTCTCTGTGCGGGTTGGCCGGGCGCATGTAGCGAGGTGGGACGGTCCACTTGAGTCATAGTAGTATATTAAATGGAGATTCCTCTGCTTTAAGGGAACATTTAACCTCAGCTCCTACATCAGCCCTTCTTCTTCTCTCAACCTTAACAATTGAGTGAATGCCGGTCTAAGATGACAGCAGCGTTCCTTCCTCAATTTCGGGCCTGCCAGTTTTCACGGTAAAAGTAACAACGGAACGCGACTTCGATTCTCGTACGTAGCTGACAACTCTCTTATTCTACATCGCGTCAGCAAATTCCTATTCTACATCGTGTTATCCTCAAACAACTAACATGATCTCCATTAATCTTCCTGACCTCCAGACATCACCTTTTACGGGGATCAATCTTTGTACACTTTCCCCAACCTCGACAAGTCCCTGTCGTGTGGACGCTCGATTCGACAAAAATGAGCAGTTCACGCGTGCCTCAGAGGAGAGATATCGGTGAGTAATATCCTTGGATTGCCAAAAGATACCGGCTATTAACATTCTTCGCTGAGGCAGATTGTCTCGTCAAAACATGCCTTTCTGCCTTACCGGGAACGCGTATATATACGCTTACCTTAGGCTAGCAAATAGCTTCAGTCCACGCGTTACGCTTCTTTCTCTACCTTATCGAACAAAATGAACATCCACGCTTCCGCATAGCGAACTTCGTGAGCCCATCCTGGCCGCATCCTTCCACCCCCAGAATACCACAAGTGGCCAAATTTTGGTGATGGGTGTTGGCTTTGGCTATGGTGCGGATTGTTCGTTTTGGCACTCGCCATATCGTCGTGCTTTGGGCATCTTTCCCTATAAGAGCTTTTCTCCGCAAATACACTCTAATCATGATGACTTCCCCCCTCATTGGGGGTGGGCTTTGGTGGTTCCAGTGGCCTGTGCCTTCTGGCACTTTTTATGTCGTCGTGCTCCGGGCACAAAGAAAGTGCGCATCAGACTTCTCATTCTGCTACATTATCATTGTGAGAGACTGACACTGTTTGCTCCAATTCATAGATTCTCTACATCCTGTTTGTCCTCCCTTCGTCCGGCGCCGTCCCCGCGCAGAATACAACCAATGGCCAACTTTTGGTCATGGGTACTGGCTTTGGCTGCACTGGGGCCCTGTTCATTTTAGCTGCAATTTTATATTGCTGCATACTCTGTGTGCAGAAAAAGTATTTATCAGGCTTCCCATTCTGCTACATTATCATTATGAGAATGAGACTGACACTGTTTACTCTAATTCATAGAGCTTCTACGTCCTGCGTCAGGGCCTATGGGCCCCAAAACATTCATGAACTTGAGCAAGCTTTAGAGCTTGTCCGGCGGGGTATGATACTCAGTACCAGCTTTTGTCATGAGTATATACTAAGTATAGGGGTTTTCCAGGCCGTCGGACAGCCCCCCGCCCAGCAACATTCAGGGAATGGTTCAAGGACAAGTTCAGGCTACCTACCCTAGGTAATGACAAATCCATGCTCATACTCATAGGATCAATAGCTGGTCCTTGTTTAGAGCCCTGAACCGGTGGCTGCCGCCGGTGGTGGCGGAGGTGGTGGCGGTTCTCGTGCCAGTGGCTTGTGCCATTGGACACCTTTCGTTTCAAGAGCGTTTCTCTGCAAATACACTCTAATTATGATGACTCCACCCCTCCATCGAACGTCGGATATCGTCTACCCCTCAACTGGCGCCTTCCTCCCCCAGATTACTACTAAAGGCACCCGAAACGTTTTGGGGGAGGTAGGCTTTGGTGGTGCCAGTGGCCTGTGTCTTTAGGCACTCTTTATATACCTCGCCGTGCTTTGCGCACGTAAAACGTGCCAACTTTCAAGCATTGGCTAAAGGCCAAATCCAGGCTGCCCTGGGTAATGGCCAAACCCATGCTCATAGGAACTATGGCTGATACCTTCTTTAGGGCCGAGATCCGTCGGCTGCCGCCGCTGATGGTGGTGATGGTGGTGGTGATGCGGGTGCTGGTGGTACTGTTTCTGGGTCCTGAAAAAGGACAGAGCTTTTTCTTCTCTTTTTTTCTTCTCTTTTGAAAAGAACTCTTCTACAAAGAGTTGCCCATAGGGCTAGTACCCTCTGCCTACTTCAGTGGGTGCAGGCAGAAATCGTACCCCGTAAATCTACTGGCTCAGGCTAAAATGGAACCGAATGCCATGTGCCATCCTCGTCATAAATTGGACTTCAGCATTTTGGGTGAGAACAAGGAGGAAGCTTCGGTCATGCTTCATTCGCCGACATCTACCTCTGGAAAGAACAAAATAGTATCCATCTCATCAATAACTGTCCCTCCTGATGACTTCCTCGAGAAGAGGTGCCTAACCTTTTTCAACGAAACAATAAGTATCTCGATACATAGTCTATAACATTTCACGTTTGCAATTCCGAGATTTAATTAATTCATTATACTATAAATATTCTCATATCCCTTCACTGCCTCCTACAGTGAAACTAATTGGAAAACTTCTCAGGGACTTTCCTTCTGTATTATCGCATATTAGCTTACAACCACCGCGAACTATACCCCAGTCACGAGAATTCAAACTTACCCGGTAGCACTCTCAAACTGGTTCCTCGCCGTATCTGTGATTTTCTCATTCGTCGAGCGCATCTTCTGAGGATCGATCTTGCCACCACCGAACTTCTGTTCAACAGAGTCGAGACCTACAAGAGCGATGATATCAGCATTCCATTCCAGCCGCGATAGCCCAAACCAACAACATAATATTATAGGCGCGCGCGTGAAAAAAAAAAAATACTCACCCTTATCAAGGTAATCCTCCTGGCCCTGGTTTCCGCTAGACCCCGAGGCCTGCGCGTCACCACCAGACTTGTTGCCACCGCTGAGCTTCGAGGCGAGACCGGAGAGTTTGTCCATGGTGATTATGTGGTTATTGGTGTTCAATTGTTTCGTGTGTGAGGCGTGGAAAAATGTGATGAATGTCTGATGATTAGAAATTTAGGAATGTTGCTGCAAGGGTGGATGTTACATTTGTTTTATATTTCGATGAGTGCTTAGTTATTGACTCTCGGGGGGGGGGGCGGAGTTGGTGATGTCATGGACGGGAGTCCATCTGCATATGTAGATCTTGTGAAGTGGTTAATCATCAGGTATGTCATGGATGTGCATAACTCTGCAGGATGAGGTCAGATGATTGACTCTCACGTGAATGACATCGTGGTGATGTCAGCATTCCCCTGCTTATGTCATCTATGTTTATGTCTGATGTCAGATCACGTGCATCCAGCCAGCCCCATCTCGTATTCGTATCCCCTGCAGTTGCCCTTTTTTGTGCTGCTTGTTTGTTTGCTCTTCTTTTTTTGTCTGACAGCTGGGTTCCCTGTCGGAAGGTCTCTCACGTCGCACACCGGAACCAGACGAGGAAAATTTCCTCGGAAATCATGGCGGCATTGCAAACCATGCGGGTTTGTATCACCCAGCTTGCCACCTGCAGATAAACAGTAGTCCGATGTCACATCACCCCATTTCTGGGAGAAATTCTCATCCCCCTGCAATCAAAGCAAACCAAGATTTCACTGCCCAAAAATTCGATTCAGCCTGGTCGGCCCCCACGGACCCCGATTCCTTTGGCAGGATCAGTGGCGCAGGGGCAATCTTGCTGCCTAGGATGAAGTGGTTCCAGGGACAGCAAACCTCCTGGATGGGGCTGTTCCCTTTCCCTCGGGCCTATCAAGGGTTCCCCAGACCGAGGGGTTGGCCCTAACATTCCTGCCGAACTCCGGGTTAGAGCCGCTGACTGTACAGAGTTCGCTATTTTGGCAGAAACTCTGGTTCACATGGTGGATTCGCCAAGGCTGCCCAAAGCCTTCCGGACGATCCGCAAGATGTGGCTGTTCACTCAGGATCATATTATTATAAGGCATTCTGTGCGCTGAATCTCTTCGCAACTTTTTTTCCCTTCTCGTGCCGTCCCTCCTCCACCCTCCCCCCAGTCCTTCCCTCCGAGATCGTCGTCCCTGTCGATCATGAAGCTGCCTCTCTTTGCTACAGCCGCCGCTGGCCTCGCCAATGCTGCTTCCGTGCCTGTCGAAAGGGCCGAGGCTGAGGTTGCTTCCGTCGCCGCCGATTTAATTGTCCGCGCCCTCCCCAATGCCCCCGACGGATATACTCCCTCCAATGTCACCTGTCCCTCGACTCGGCCTAGCATTCGCGATGCCTCCGGCATTTCTACCAACGAGACCGAGTGGCTCAAGGTCCGTCGCAATGCGACTCTCACCCCGATGAAGGACCTCCTGAGCCGTCTGAACCTCACCGGCTTCGACACCACCTCCTACATCAACCAGCACTCCAGCAACATCTCCAACATCCCCAACATTGCAATTGCGGCCTCGGGTGGTGGATACCGTGCTCTCACCAACGGTGCCGGTGCGCTCAAGGCATTCGACAGCCGCTCCGACAATGCCACCAACTCCGGTCAGCTGGGTGGTCTGCTGCAGGCGGCAACTTATGTCTCTGGTCTGAGTGGAGGTAGCTGGCTGGTCGGATCCATGTTCGTCAACAACTTCTCCTCCATCGGTGAACTGCAGGCCAGCGAAAAGGTCTGGCGATTCGACAAGTCCCTGCTCGAGGGACCCAACTTCGACCACATTCAGATCGTCAGCACGGTGGAATACTGGAAGGACATCACCGAGGAAGTCGACGGAAAGGCCGACGCCGGTTTCAACACCTCCTTCACCGACTACTGGGGCCGTGCGCTGTCCTACCAGCTGGTGAACGCCTCCGACGACAAGGGCGGTCCCGACTACACCTGGTCCTCCATTGCCCTCATGGACGACTTCAAGAACGGCCAGTACCCCATGCCCATTGTCGTCGCCGATGGCCGCAACCCCGGCGAAATCATCGTCGAGACCAATGCCACCGTCTACGAAGTGAACCCCTGGGAATTCGGCTCTTTCGACCCTAGCGTCTACGCCTTCGCCCCTCTGCAGTACCTGGGCTCTCGCTTCGAGAACGGCGCTATCCCCGACAACGGCAGCTGCGTGCGCGGCTTCGACAACGCCGGGTTCATCATGGGCTCGTCTTCCACCCTGTTCAACCAATTCCTCCTCGAGATCAACAGCACCAGCATCCCAACAATCCTGAAGGACGCCTTCACCGACATCCTCGAAGACCTCGGTGAGCGCAACGACGACATCGCCGTCTACTCCCCGAACCCCTTCTCCGGCTACCGCGACAGCAGCGAAGACTACGCCACAGCCAAGGACCTTGACGTGGTCGACGGCGGTGAAGACGGCGAGAACATCCCTCTGCACCCACTGATCCAGCCGGAGCGTGCCGTGGATGTCATCTTCGCCATCGACTCCTCCGCCGACACAGACTACTACTGGCCCAACGGCACCTCCCTGGTGGCCACCTACGAGCGCAGTCTTGAACCCACCATCGCCAACGGCACCTCCTTCCCCGCCGTGCCGGACCAGAACACTTTCGTCAACCTGGGTCTCAACTCTCGCCCGACCTTCTTCGGCTGCGACCCCAAGAACATCTCCGGCACTGCTCCCTTGGTCATCTACCTCCCCAACAGCCCCTACACCTACGACTCCAACTTCTCCACCTTCAAGCTCACCTACAGCGACGAGGAACGTGACTCCGTCATCACCAACGGCTGGAACGTGGTCACCCGCGGTAACGGTACTGTGGACGATAACTTCCAGTCTTGCGTGGCCTGCGCTATCTTGCAGAGATCCACCTACCGGACGAATACCTCCCTCCCGGATATCTGCACTACCTGCTTCAACGATTACTGCTGGAATGGAACCACCAATAGCACTACACCGGGAGCTTATGAACCTAGTGTGCTGATTGCTACTAGTGGTGCGATGAAGAGCGTGTTGGATTACTCGGTGCTTGCTGCGGCGGTGGGTGTCGCTGCGTTTATGCTGTAGATATGATATGATGTCTGCATAGGTGTCTGTATATGTTTTATTTCTTATTAGATGCACATAGCCATATTTGCATTGTATGGTTAGATTGATGATGAAGATACCGGATTAGACTGTGTTCATTAGCAATACCACGACTTGATTCTATGTTGAGTGAAGTACAATTTCTAGTTGCCTGAGGCAGCAATATTTCTATACTCGCTCTACAGAAAGCAGGTGCGTAAAGCATGGGCACCGGGCTGTGTCAAGTATGTATGTTCCTGGGTATCGCCTGGGGACTCGTGTCACTGCATAGAGCGAACTCTGCCTGCTATATTCGTGTTCCCTTTTTGTCAGTGAATTCTTCTCCCAGGCCACTTGATAGCACCATGGGTAATAAAACAAATTTATTATCAAACTGAAGCTAAAAGATACAATACTCAGAAAACGAAAACGCAAACGAAGCCCTGTGGGAATCACTTATAACAAGAGTATTTTAGAAAAAAAAAAAAAAAAAAAAAAAAAGAGACAGAGAGACGAAGCTTTGCCCTTGATCAGGGCCCAGCAGCAGCAGCACCCGCACCAGTCCCAGCAGTAGTAGCAGCAGTAGCAGCACCCGTACCCCCAGTCCCAACAGCACCGGCAGCAATAGCCGCAATGGCGGCAGCAACACCGGCAGCAGCACCGGCAGCGGCAGCAGCAGCAATAGCTGCATCGGGAGCAGCGGCAGCAGCCCCAGCAGCCCCAGCAGCCCCAGCACCACCGCTGGGGCCAGCCACTGGTGTTCGGCTCTAAACAAGTATCAGCTATTGATCCTATGAGCATGGCTTTGGTTATTACATAGTTCGGCTTGAATTTGGCAGTTATCCATTCATGAAAATTGGTGGGAGGGGGGAACAGGGGCCTGGCTCGTCCTGGAGAATACCTATACTTTAGTATATACCCATGACAAAAGCTTGTACTGAATATCATACCTTGTCGGACAATTTCCATTACGGTTTCAAATTCATCAAGAGTCTTGGGCACATAGGGCCCGACAAAAGGAGATGCCCACCTATGAATTAGAGCAAACAGCGTCAGTCTCATTTTTATAATGATAGTGTAGCAAAATGAGAAGCCTGATGCGCACTTCTTTCGTGCACAGAGCACGATAAGATAGATGAAGAGTGCCAAAAGGCACAAACCACCAACGCCACCGATCCCTACCCCCATAACTTCCATAGTGGCGTTTGTGGTATTTTGGGGGGGAAAGGATCCCGTGGACGGGTAGACAATATCGCGAGGCAGCGGAGGGGTCATTTTGATCGTAATTTGAGTAGAAGAGGTCTAAAAACGAAGTAGAAAGCCCTTAAAACGTAGTAAAATTCACTAAGTCTTGGTCTATGTACAGGAATAAGTGTCGCGGCCAGTTTTCCTTCGACAAGTACACCAAAATTCAGTATATGGAAGGAAAGAACGGTGCTGGTTGTGAATCAGTTTATGCCTTCCACTGTAGCTAACAGTAGCCTCGTTACTACCTCGTTTACTGGTTTGATGAGTATAGTTTGCGGTGTAGGGCTAAGCGAGTCTGGGCCCCGATAGCGCGCCCGTTTTCTGACTGGCAACTTCCTTTCAAGTGCAACAAGAGCGTCGGGGCGCACCAAACTTTCACTCGGAACAATTGATTTGCCCGACGCTAGGGACTATCGACGACATGTTGACGTTTTGCCATGTCAATCAGCGACCCAAGAGCTGCTTATGGCGGTCATTGAATGCTGACGTCTTGGAGCAGTGGAAAGGGCATCCAAAACTCGATGCAACTGTTGACTGCATGAGCGAGTTGGGAGAACCATTGGTATTGATATCAAGGTGCGTCTGATATCAGTGATGGACGTGTAAGAGCCGCGACACGGGTGTGGAGAATAAGGTTTCGCTTAAGCGGGCCGCCTCTTTGTTCGCATTATAATCAATTTGCAGTGACAACTGTCCCGATTTGGCTGGCCAGCAGCACGGGTCATGTTCTCGGAACATCGAAAGTACAAGGTTGGACAACTCTCGCCTGTATGCTGTGGACGGAGACTCATACACGATCGTAGATGTAGTATGCAGTTGAAGTACTGGGGTCAGATACCAAGGGTGCATGGATTGCCTACCTGCGGCTAGTACTCTGTTGATGTCTGTACCGGGGTAGTAGTATATATAAAGTGGAGAGATACTGAGTGGGCAGTGGGCGCCGGGAAGCTTTTCGCTTTAGAAGACGAACGCAGGGAGTCCATTGAAGTCTGATCGTCATAGCAAGTCGAGAACGACGTGGGATGTAAAATCGTACACCCCCAAGTAAAAATTTTTTACGGCCCGATAACAAAGGGTTCAGCCAGCGTTGGAAGGCGACAGGAGGTGGGCTCCTTCCACAAAATCCATGTCAGGCCTACTGTTCAAAGACCAAGACTCTCAGTTCACCAGTACCTCCATTCGCACCAAAGCGTTATGGAAAATGTTTCTTCCCAATTCGATTCAATCTATTTACACCCCGCCCTGGATCTTTAATTGTGGACGCCCCTTGTCTTCCTTTCTCTTCCCATCCTTCTTAAAATTCGAGGGTAGCAGACTATGTCCATCGCCTGTCTCAACTCCTGGGCTGCCTGTGGGTTAAACTGGTGCTGTTCGCGGATCTGCTGATTCTTACTAGGCACCGACTCATTTGGAAGATTCCACTATGCAATCTCATAGCTGGGCTTGAGATGGCGTTTGTCTGTATAAGGGTTCGGGATACTTACCGACTTGTGGAGCCGGCGACTGAATAGCGTGGTTATTCTTCCGCATATAATACTCTCGGATGTCATGTTGGTGGGCTGCCTATGTTTGTCGCCAAGCTCGAAGAGTCAGGCAGGCAGTAGCTATATGGCTGTCTCGTTCAAGCGCCTCCGACTGGGCGATGCTCATGAGGGATCTGGTTACAGTGACTATGAGGATGACGATGACCATTTGTCCGTGGACGGTGGTGTCTTCCTTGAACCTGGATACACCGATGAGAAAAGCAGCACCAATAAGGGCAAAGAGAGAGTCTTCACCGCCAAATCATATGCTGGGTATGGGTATCTGACCTACAGCAGCATAATTGAAGGGGGTAATTATGATGGAGGCGAGAGTGCTTCAAGCGGGGGAGCTCGAAATAAGAAGCAGAGACGATCAGAACAGGCGAGAAGGATATCGCTTGCTTGACGAGTACCGACCTGTTTCCGAGGAGCTTGAGCCAGCTCTTCGGGAACGATAGTACTCGGAGCTGTTGAATATCAACCCGGGCGACGAGGAAGTTGCTTCAGCCAGTTCTTCGTAAAGCGATAGTGCTTCTATGTACTTAGAGATGTTGAACCACGTCGTTGTAGCAACGAAGAAGTTATTAAGTCGATGGTACCAAGATTGAATTCAGCAAGTTTTTGATTTGGTTCCAATAATGAACAAAGGTTTAGCAGTAGCGAAGTAGTCAGGCAGCTCGTTAGGTCGACTGAAGCTGCGAGCTAATGCGCCTGGGATTCCTCAATTCCTGAATCCAAAGACATAGGCATTTACCCAATCCTCCAAATAGTCCCTGGAGAAGTTGCGGTAGCCGCATAGAAAGACATCCACGATCATCGGGTCATTCTCATATCTCTCAACTTCCACAGGATACCCCCTTGTGTCTTCGCAGCATAAGCACATTGAAGTGCAATGGCTCTTGTGGAGCAGATGCTTATCAGTTCTCGGCTTCTCGCAGCATCCGCATTCCCGTCCACAGCACCCCCCGGAGCGTGCGCATTCCTGGCGCAGAAAGTTGGAGAGATACCAATCCTTCTGTTGTTCATGTGCGTACAGCATCCGCCCTAAAGGTCCGTCAGGAAGTGTATTTATATAGCGATAGGTCTCTCGTTCCAGGTTGCAGTTTGTTTCTCTGAGAGAGTGGAGTTCCTTTTTGTAGGTTTGCATCTCATCTACAGAAGTAGATGGGACTTTCGTCGATGCCTCGTACAACATGTCATGCTTGGCTCGAAGGTAGACTTCGCGCTGTATTGAGAAGCGTAGCTTGAAGTACATTTGGATATATCTTTCAATGGGCTGCCAGAGATCCCTATATGAGAGAAGAGAAATTCCACATCTTGGAAGCTGTAGTAGGCGGAAAACCTGAGCTGTATCATGGTTACCTTCTTGCTGGGACTTACGTTCCGCATGTCGGATGTATGGCCTAAAAAGGTATCTGACCACCGCGGAAAGTGACATGTTGGCTCGTTTGGGAGTGAAACTTGAAAGAATAAAGGCGAGAAGCGAAGGCAGGCTTTTATAAGGTCACACGATGACATGTATTCCCATCATGACATGAAGATTGCGGGAGAAACGGAACATAATGAGGTAATGATGAGTCAAACAGAAGGGAGTTATTTCTCTACGCTGAAAATAGAGAGCCAAACATACCCTCTCCTCTTTGCGTCCCATACCTGCTTGAAATGATCATTTTTAGAGTTAGTGCTTGAGAAACTGGACTTCAAGCTTCGTAACCTAGAACTATCTTCTACATCCTGCCTAAGAATCCACTTAATCTGCCTCCTACGTTTTGAAAGAACTCTGCCCATACTACCATCGATCAAGAAACGATCATGAGGGATAGTGCTGTTGGGCTATGCCTTTGTAACGTACTGTAATTGCCAGAAGAGGATCTTTGAGACAATCTGTTGCCCCTTAGAATGGCCGACTCATCTTTATATAGCAATACGTGGTATGCGTGGTATGCACGAGCAGCAGTTAACAGATATCTTAACGGGTAGTAATTATGAAAAGATCAATAGCAAGACATTGGACCTAGAGAGGAAAAGCTGCGCAAAGGTGTGTAGGTTCAATACATACATATGCCCATAAGTCCCATACTAAGTAATAGCATGGAACGTCGACGAGCTAACCGCTAGGCTAGAGTACAAAAGCTATACTATCGCGTCTATTCGGTCAGCCGACAGACATATCTGCCAACATCATTTAGCCAGACCCCTGTTAGTAAAAAGGCTACTACGACGCTCAGTGATTTTCACTCTCTTATGTTTCCTTGGGTTCTCGTTTCGAGGTTTTCCTCCGCTTTCGCCGCAAGGACACAGCGTGAACTTGTTCCGCAAAGCCTGCGGATAATGACGTATGAGAGAGTGCTCTGGCGGTACTATCATATAAGCACCGCCACAGAACTGACGCCGGCGCAAAAGTGGCATTCGCCGTACTGCTCCACTGCGGTCACTGCCTTTCTTCCTGCGATAAATGTTTGCAATCACTGCTTGGTCTTTCAGTCAGTTCTGACTGTCTTGTCAATATAGCCACTTCACCGCCAAAAGCATTCCCTTCGGCGAATTCCTCGTAGCAAGGCACTTCACCAGGTTGTCCACGCTCGGTCTCGTGGGCTATAAATCCTCGGTCTTCCTCCTCCTTGATCTTACCTTCTCCAACTATGCAAACTACCAAGCATCTGCCCGAACCTGTTCGTCAATACTTTTGCCTTCTTAATCAAACAAAAATAAACATTGTCTCTTGGATCGCCTTAGACTTTCGACAATTCTATAGCTCTCAATGAAAGTTCTTTGCGTTATCTGCCACAGCGTAGATATTATTTGACACTGTGATGACCAATACTACATGCCACAATACGCATTCCTGTACATAGCGTTCATGGGAGTCAAACAGAGTCATCAAGAATTTGACAGAGCTTACTAAGTTATAAATCGTCAAACAAAGGTCACATGATGGAAATTATTACCGATCGACAGCGTTATGCCTTTATGTATGACAAAAGGCTGCGGTACATGCTGCCGACACATGGTTAATTCAGCCCAGAAAGCGCTCAAGGACATGTTTAACATCGACATTGGGCTTTTACAGCTTGGTACAAAGGTACACTTTAGGTATGGACAGCGACTATATGTTCTACAATAATTGGTATGCCTTACAGAATAAGGCTAGATAAATGCTTCCAAATTAGTGTCATAGCTTCGGTTATGCCGGGTCGGTCCTTGGAATGGACACGGTTTGGAGGATTTGTTACACCTCTAAGGAAATTGCGTCAGAAAAATTGGCTGATTTATTTCACTAATGGTATCCTTAATATTACTAATTATGGAAATGGGGTTAAATTGCCCAAGTGGCCTGCAGTGTCAACAATAGTACAGACAGGCTGGGGATCTATATCTTGGCCGCTGGATGTCTTGTACAGCAGGTGGTTTCCTGGTGCTGTACGGATACTTATAAATTCGTACAAGACACCGACAAATATGAAGAAGGCATATGCATAAAAGCATATTGGCGCTTGTGGTCGT